CCCTAACGCCTTAATCCGTGGTGCTTCAGGCTGTGTGCAGAACTGAAGGTGATCACTGAGCGCGCTCTCAGCACACCAGGGGACACTCTGGAACTGATGGAACACAAGGCATACATGGAGGATGTTATGGAAAATCAGTTGCACACCCTGGAGGGCCGCGTCTGGCGCCTCCACACGCAGCTGCAGGTAACGTCCACCCATGAGCAGGCAGGATTGGTTTTATGCAGAATTGTTGCAAAAGTAAAAGTTCCTTGGACTCGTTTTGTCAAAAAAAAATCTTTTGCTGAATAAGCCAAGCTGGCAAGTGCAAGTTTCAAAGCATGAATTGAGTGTCACTCCAAGCCATTTTGCCATCCACTTTACATGTTCGTGTGAACTTCTTGTGTACATTATAATAATACTAATTATTATTATTATTATAGTTATTATTGTTTTTGTTATTATGTACGTGAGTGCATCCAGAGTTTCTAAACTTATTTTCCATTCCGGCGATCAGTTCTTGGCTGAGAATATGTCACTGAGTTCCGAGGAGTGTAGCGATGCCGTCCAGCCTCTAGCCTGGTTCATCCGCCTGCCGGAGGTCTTCCGTGTTCACCTGCAGATCATCACTGAGAAGAGAGCGGAGTACGAAGCTAACCTCAGGGTACGTTACCTACTTTCCTGATTTGTGTATGTGTAATGTAGAGTACGAGGCTTACCTCAGGGTACGTTACCCACTTTCCTATCTTGTGTATGTGTAATGCAAAGCAGAGTACGAGGCTAACCGCAGGGTACGTCACCCACCTTCCTGCCTTGTATGTGTGTCATGTATATTATCATAGATCATCCTGCTGTCTATGCAGTATGTGTTGTATTTTATGCAGTATGTGCTGTATTTGCACTATCAATACAACATGTTTATCATAATAATGGTACACAGTACCGGCAAATAGATAAGTAAGACATGCGCAGCAGCTGGTTATCTTTACTGTTGAATCGTCATCTCCTCCCTACTGCTTTTGCTTCTTCTACCTCAAACTTCTTCACGCCTTCCACCGCTTTTCTCTGTACTGGACTGATAAAGCCGCAAAGATACCCAAGTGTACGATTTGTGTCTTATTCTGGTCATCTTAACCATTAAATTAATATTTCTAAATGTCTAAAAAAGTACCCCCCAAAAATAACGAATTCATTTAAAAGCAAAATACAAAATTTCGATAAAGGTCAGTGGACAGAATATTTCCACAGTCTAATTACGTAATTTTTTTTTTTTACAGAATTTGTTTTGTTTTTTAAATAATTGTATAAATCAATTACAAAAGGATTTATTGATTTATCTAATTATTTGAACTTCGACTATTCACTAATATCCTTTATTTAAAAAACGGTAGGAGCGTCGGGAGAAGTTCCAGGATGAGCTGGCGGAATATTCAGTTCAGCTCGAAGAGTTCCAGACTCTGGGAGACCACAACGAGATCCACGAGTACTTGCGACGAGCCCGGTCCCTGCACTCTCGTCTAGACCATGCTGCTAACTACATCGAACAGATCAACAAAGAGGAGGAGGCCCTCTCCTGGAACACCACTCATTACCCACTCAGGAAGCAGGTGAGAGAGAATCTTAACACCACTTATTACCCAATCAAGAAGCAGATAATCATTTAACACCCACTCAGTAACGTGTATATTTGTGAAACGATACAGGATTGAGCCTAAGAACTCCAACAAGGAAGCATGGGCAGTCTCTCCTGGCTATGGCTCCGGGACACAGCCTCACGCAGTGGGTGGGGGACAATAATCATTTGTTTGAATAAACATTGCCTCTTTCAGGTGTCGGACAAACTGGCCCCGTTCTTGAAGCTCTACGAGGTGGGTGTGGAGTGGTCAGACCGCTTGGAGGAGTGGCTCCACTCCCCTGTGGGCACCCACGACCCTGATGTCATATCCCAGGAAGTGGCGGCCACCTGGAGGACGGTCTACAAACTCGAGAAGGGCTTCGGGGACATCCCCGCGGCCAAAAACGTAGTAATCGCGGTAAATATAGCTAGTTCACAAGTTGATGACGAAGACAAGTATTGGGACAACGTTTTTGCTGTTAGGAGAGTTCTCCTTGGAGAGAAACGTCGCCCTAATAACGATCTTGGTGAAACGGTCTTTCAATATCGCTAATGTTAAAACAGTGTTTCAGTAAAGGCTTGTTCCATTACGTTGTGGCTTTGCCTTCTTGTAGGCAGTAGAAATTTCTAAGTCATTCATGTATTTTTTTAGTGAGATATGAGAAAAGTTAATAAAAAACACTGTGATATATATAATTTTACCATAATGTTTGCTTTTTGAAACAGATTTAGATTTGTTTAATGTGATACGAAATGTCGTGAGTTCATTCTTGTTTGATGTGACTCACACCGGGTACATATACACCGAGTGGTGACTGTATCAGTGTATATACACTGAAAGGTATATGTCTCAGTATATGCATACCAAGAGGTGCATGACTTTCGTAATATATGCACTGGAAGTGTACTCACCTATTTGTACTCACCTATTTGTACTCACCTATTTGTGGTTGCAGGGGTCGAGTCCTAGCTCCTGGCCCCGCCTCTTCACCGGTTGCTACTAGGCCCTCTCTCTCCCCGCTCCATGAGCTTTATCAAACCTCGTCTTAAAACTGTGTATGGTTCCTGCCTCCACTACGTCATTTTCTAGGCTATTCCACTGCCTTACAACTCTATGACTGAAGAAATACTTCCTACTATCTCTCTGACTCATTTGTGTCTTCAACTTCCAATTGTGGCCTCTTGTTTCTGTGTCCCCTCCCTGGAACATCCTGTCTTTGTCCACCTTGTCTATTCCACGCAGTATTTTATATGTCGTTATCATGTCTCCCCTGACCCTCCTGTCCTCCAGTGTGGTCAGGCCGATTTCCCTTAATCTTTCCTCATAGGACATTCCCCTTAGCTCTGGAACTAACCTTGTCGCAAACCTTTGTACTTTCTCTAGTTTCTTGACGTGCTTTATCAAGTGCGGGTTCCAAACAGGTGCTGCATACTCCAGTATGGGCCTGACATACACGGTGTACAGTGTCTTGAATGATTCCTTACTAAGGTATCGGAATGCCTCTCCTGCTGTATACATAATGTTTCTCAGGGTAAATACAGTGAGAGTTTATCTTAATCCCCATTTTATGACGTACACTACTGTGAATATGATAATGGTATACAATACCGACAAGTTGATAAGTAAGACACATGTGCTACAGTTAGGTAACTTTATTCCGAAATGTTTTGCCTACGCAGTAGGCTTCTTCAGTCGAGTACAGAGGAGGCAGCAGGAGCAGTAGAGATGTAAAGACGATGTAATCAGTCCAACTACGTCTTCAAGACGAAACGTTTCGGAATAGTTACTTAACTGTTACACGTGTATCTTATCAAGTACACTGTTCTTGGTGGTGTACAAGTGAATTGCGGCCTTAATGACACCCCCCGCCACATTACAATAGATAGGCTTGAAACGTAACACCGTGTAATCTGTACGCGGTGTTAAACCTTGGCTTGATAGGAGCCTTGTTCGTGTGATGCAGGTTCGACAGCGTATTGAGACGTTCAGAGAGAACCTTCCCTTGGTGCAGACGCTGGGTAACCCGGGCCTCAAGGAGAGACATTGGGAGAAGATCTCAGAAGTGGTTGGATACCCTCTCAGGTGAGACTTTTTTATATCTGTTCGTCTCTTGCTTTTTCCCTTTCTTGTTTTTCTGCTTGCGTCTCTGTGTTTCCTCTCTGCCTTTGTGTTTATCTCTGCTACTGTTTGTGCTTGTATGTGCACCTGACTGTTCACCTCTTGTGTTTGCCTCTGTTCTTTTGGCTGACTGTGTTCTTCTCTGTTCTTTTGACTGACTGTGTTCCCCTCTGTTCTTTGATTCCCTCTGGGAGTTCCTCTCTGTTCCTCCATTTTCTCTATGTATTCGTTTCTGTTTGCTTCTCTGTTCCTCTGTCTGAATGTGCTCATCTCTCTCCCTCTGTTTGCCTCTATGAATTAATCTCTGTTACTCTGTTTACCGCTGAGTGTCCCTTTGTTAGTTCTCTGTTAATTTATTTGCCAAGTGTTGTACATTTGTCTAATTAACTTGTCTGTTCTCTGAACCATTTATCTACAACCTCCAGGTAGGTAGACCGTAGCTGGAACAATTCACAAACAAATAACATAATGGAGAGGAAGCTCTAAGCAACGTTATGTCAAGTTTTTCTCTTCAGAGTATGGGTTAATTGTGAATTTTCTGTTGAAATTTTGATTCAGTGTATCATTTCTACGAGATATTTTAACATATCTTGTAAGCTATGCATGGAGGTGTCTGAAAGGCTGGATGTTTGGACATTCCAAGATATAATGTCCTAGTCTGTGGCCCTGTCTCTGTTCACACACATTTCTCTAAATACAGTTATTTACATTCAAGGGGTAAGGATGTGTCCTGATGCTGGATTCAGGGAGTTGGAACTTCCCTGCCCTTCATCGGATCAAACTTGATTACCTCCTGCCCCATGACTCTTTATAACTAGTAATAATTCTTTCTGACTGGGGAACATGCAACTTTCAGAGCGGACGCTACCACCACCCTTCAGCGTCTTATAGACTCCAACCTCGAGGACTACCTTTCCAAGTTCGAAACTGTGTCAGAGGCGGCCTCCAAGGAGCACGTCTTCGAGAGGAACTTAGAGAAAATGAAGGTTAGCAAACCTATGCTTGGGTGTGTGTAAGGAATGTCTGCATCGTTGTTTCAGTTTTATCATCTACAATGCAGCCTGTATCTATCATTAGATCATCAACTAATGGTTGATCCAGATCGTATCTGCCCCACATAAGACACGCCAAGTCGGTAGCCACGACCAGCAGGAGAACAACTTCAACAACCCAAACTGCCAGGTTGTTGGATAAGACACATCGGCAACACCTGGATATGTATCTTTATTCTGAGAATACACAGAGAAGTGTTTCTCAATGTATATATACTGATAACTTACTTTAATGTCACTCAGACCCTCTCTGAGGAGTGGGTTATGCGACGAGGGCTCACTTGAAGAGACATTTTCCCCCCCTGGAGAAAAACTTTCCCAAACAGCCTTGATGCTGGTGAAAGGCTGTCGATTCAAGGAATTGGAGCTACCTTTCCCTACTTCAGATCTCACCTGAGTATCCTCATGCGCTCATTAATATAATAATAAAAGTGATAAGAAGAGAAAAAATAATTAATAATGATAATAATCCCTGTCTAATACAAGGCTTTTCCTCTCCCTCGTGTGGCAGAGTGAGTGGCAGGAGATGGAACTGGTGTTAAAGCCTCATAGAGAGACAGACACCTGGGTGCTCTCAGCTGTCGAAGACATCCAGTTTCTGCTGGACGATCACATCGTCAAGACCCAGTCCATGAGGTCCTCACCCTTCATCAAGCCCATCGAGCAGGAAGTGGTAAGTGTGATGGAAGTTCGTTTGAAGCCCTCCAGAAGGAAGTGGCGAAAGGGATGCATATTCACTTCAGACCCCTCCATCTCTGGAAATTAGGTACAGCTTGATTGGCTAAAGTAAAAGGTCAACACTATGGATAAATATTACCGCTAAACTTTATGAAAAATTACTGCCTCGCTGCCTGGAAGCTCGGTCGACATGTAGTACTACAGAAATAGTGACGAAAGAGCACAGGTTGCGGAACACACTCTTACTGGGACAACGATTCTTTCTGTGTAGATCTTTATCGTGACTTGATAAAGCTCTACACGGGGAAACAGTGTCCCAGTAAAAGCTTGTGCAACGTCAATTTGTTATTCACCTTCCTGGAAAATCCGAGTCAACGAAGGGAGTCTGTGAATGGTGTTTAGGAAAGTCATTTAATGCCTGCAAATCTTGTGTGAAATTATTGATGGTTGTAATACGTGTATGAGTAATCATTAAAAATTCCTTCCTGGAAGCGAGCTAATATCTGTGTTGTCTGTGGCAGGCGGCGTGGGAGACGACACTGGCGCAGCTGCAGGAGGTGGTAGATGAGTGGTTGAGGGTGCAGGCAACGTGGATCTACCTGGAGCCTATCTTCGGTTCCCCGGACATCATGGCCCAGATGCCTGAGGAGGGACGCAGGTAATCACCTCAGCCCAAATTTTCAAAAAATTAAATATATAATAGATTAAATGGAAGCCTACTTTTTATTCCTCTTCGAGAGACAGAAAAAAAAGGAGACAAAATGATCGAAGAAAATACATAATATTCTTGTTGTATTGCATCTTGATATAATTTTGGTTGAAATATGTTGTGTATCTTTATATGTGTATGCTTCTAAACTGTTGTATTCTGAACACCTCTGCAAAAACAGTGATAATGTGCGAGTGTGGTGAAAGTGTTGAATGATGATGAAAGTATTTTCTTTTTGGGGATTTTCTTTCTTTTTTGGGTCACCCTGCCTCGGTGGGAGACGGCCGACTTGTTGAAAAAAAAAAATTTTTTTGGTCAGTGTTTTTTGTGTGAAAATAATAATAATAATAATAAAAAACAATAAAATAATAATAATATAATAAAATTATAATAATTTAATTTCGTTTCAACCAAGTCGTCTATTACTTTCATCTTGACTGACAGACAATTCACTGCAGATTTAATACGGTGGACAAAACTTGGAAGGACATCATGAAGAGCGTGCGGCAGAACACCAGGGTGCTCTCCGTGCTGGAGGTCGACAAGATCCTGGAGAGGCTCCGCAAGTCCTCAGAGCTGCTCGAACTGATCCAGCGAGGTCTTAATGAGTACTTGGAGAAGAAGCGACTTTACTTCCCCAGGTTCTTCTTCCTCTCCAACGAGGAGCTGTTGGAGATCCTCAGCGAGACGAAGGATCCGAGCAGGTAATTGATTTTCGTTAAAGAACAAAAAGGCACATTACCGTGATTAGAACTATACACGATCCGCACATATGTGCAGGTTATTTGTGATTTTCGTTATTAGGTGCTGAAGCCCAACACTTTTCATGAGTTGGTGAGCACTGCAACGTCGGTCTAAAACGCTTGGGTGATCTTCTTAACCATATCAACGACATTAATATACAGAACAGGAAATTGGCACTCTTTGATGCCACGTTCTTCACCAAGGTGCCAACCGATCAGGCTCTTGCATTCCTGAGAAGCAAGGTTAAAGACGATGGAGATCCCCTAGTTACTAGCCGAGGCTTGACAAAGTTCCTGGAGAGCTAAACGTTGCGACAATAAATGTCACATTCGTTGCATTTGTGTCCTTTTACCTAACAAGTTAATATGGCAGGACTCAGTTTCCAAGTGTCCTGACATATCATACTACTCATGTTCTCACTACATTAGGCCTTCCTTTGACCATTCAGTCTCTGATTTTCTGTACTCTGTATTGGTGAGTGAAACGCCACTTAAATAAGAATTGGACATACGTTATACAGGTCATCTTTATACATCTGTCGATAGGACAGATGTATAACGAAGTAACACATAAACATTTCTGTCGTGTATCATTTTTGTATTGGCTTGAAAAAGTGTTATACCAGCGAAATTTTGTCTCGGTGAATATTTTGCTCTGCGTTTGTGTCTATTTCAACCATGGCAGCACACACAGTCCCAGATAGTTAATACACCATTGACGATGTTAATTATCTTCTCTTGTTAGTGAGTTTGGGTTTGAGAAAAACCTGCCTAATATGGGCCAGTAGGCCTGCTGCAGTTTTCCTCTTTTTTTATGTTCTTATGTTGTTCTTACCTGTTTCAAACTACTAATATCAATGTCTAAAATTATCATTACCTTTACAAATTACCACTACCTATTTGCAGCAAATCTTGCATTTTTTTTTTGATAACATGCTACCATTGTTCAGTGGTTTATTAAATAGAAAATACAATGCTTTCCGTCAGGGTTCAGCCTCACCTCAAGAAGTGCTTCGAGGGCGTCAACTCCCTGGACTTCGGCGACGACCTGGAGGTGGTTGCTGTGAGATCGAGTGAGGGAGAGGTCATTGGTCTTACTCACATCATCAGCACAGCCAAGGCAAGAGGACAGGTGGAGAAGTGGCTGGTACAGTTGGAGGCCAGCGTCAAGTCCAGCATCAAGAAGGTACCTGTTTGTCATCATAGTATATTTTATTCTTCATGTGAAGCGTTCAATTTATGTGGGTTATTATGCACAGGAAGTTTCTGAGTAGTATAGGAAACTTTATATGTGACAGTTTTTTCACTTAGTTTACTCGTCGTTTCAAGTCAGTAAACTGAAAAAGCTTTTAAATTGTAAGAGTCAGTGAGATGCTACAAACACAAAGTTTATGTATAAACGTTGATGGAACAGCCTGCCCAAAATGCCCTCCATAATCCGTATAACATGTCACATATACATTTTCAAGTGCATACCGTATTTACTGGAAATAAACAGTAATTTTCGATTTCATTTTTAATGTAGATTTTCAAAAACATATTTGAAAAATCCTAAAAGTAAGTTCTTTCTCCACTAAGTAAAAAAAACGAAGTTCGCTAGATAGCTTTGTTCGATTTAATAAAAATGCTCAGATACAGACAGGAAAAAAAGTCTTCAGTGACTTGTCATTAATTAAGCAAATTCGAAATTAATCTTGACCTTTTCATAGCTAACCTAAAATTAGAAACGAAAACTTGACGTTTCAGTTCATTCTGAAAATGTATGGCAAACTTTAGCCAATGTTTCAGGTCGTCATGAATCTTTATCAATGGTCTCCTCTCATTTGTGTCGTCTCCTTGATATGATTGATCCAGTTGCTTTTCATTTAGCTAGGCAGAATGGAGGCACAGTGACGAGAGGTCAGAAAATACTTTCTCAGTCTTAGGTTAGTAAATAACGAACAAAAACAGTCTGAACTTCCTTTCCAATTTGTGGGTTAGTTGTGAATTGTTCTTACGAACTGAGACTTTTACGCTTCACAGACTGGAAATGTGACCAGTTTTCATTTCCAGTTTGTGGGGCAGTTTTTTATTGCTCCAGCCACGGGACTGTGACTGTATACAATATTAATGTGTGTCTTGGGTGTGCAGGTGGTGCAGTCGTGCATGGAGGGGTACTCGAGCAAGTCTCGCGAAGACTGGGCCTTGGAGTGGCCTGGCCAGGCAGTTCTCTGTGTGTCTCAGACTTTCTGGACCACACACGTCTCTCGCTGCATGCTGTAAGATTTGTTTCAGTTGGACTTTCATTCCTCTCTTCATGGTTCCTTGCATACCTCCTTCCATGCATCTTTTCATACATTCCTTCATGCCTCTTTCCACGCCTTCCATGCCTCCTTCAATGCCCCCTTCCATGCCTTTGGTCATGGACCGGGCCGCGGGGGCGTTGACTCCTGAAACGCCCTGCAAGTATGCCTTCTTAAATGCCCCTTCTACGTCTTTTCCCATGCCTTTTTCTAGACATAATTTCATACAATGACTGTACAGTAAGTAGAGTATATTTTTTTTTTCAACAAGTCGGCCGTCTACCACCGAGGATTGCCAGATCGAAGAAAACCTTCCCCTTTTATGGGGAAAAATCAAAGCAATGGGTGAAAAAAGAGGTGAAATATTGCTTGGGAAAACATGTGGGAAATATTATTTAGGGGGATCTGTTAAAAACTAAGGTGGATTTTTAAAATACTACTTTGAAACTATCTTTTTTAATACTATTCCCCAGTTTCTAAATCTTGTCAAAAATATTATTTATGCTTTCTGACGCTGATAGACTACTGAATAGAAAGTGGAGTGTGTCATTTACGATGAGGCAGACCTGTCTTTGTGTACCCATCTCCCGCGCTCACTGGCTCAGTGTCATGCTGATTTTGGGTCACCAGCAGGAAGCTTTACAAGACCTATCTGGCACCTCTGATAATGCTGTAAATGATTTAGAAAACTGACAACACTGATAATACTTTATGTAAATAGAGTTAAAAATTTATTTGAGAAAACCAGCTTACGCGAGCTTTCATCCTACGACTCGCTCAAGGTCTCCTTAAGATTATTATTTTTATCAAGGGGAAGCAATAAACTAGCAAAGGCTATGCAGAGCTTGGGTTGGGATCCTTGAAAACACCTTGAAAACTGCCTCAATGCTTAAATAAATGTCTGCTCAGCAGGACAAGGTCTTAATAGGGTCATGTAGCTTCTGCGGGCAGAGAGAACGAGGTTCTTGTTTATTACTAAATTCTAAATCAAGAAAATACTAGCTATTGTCTCCTATACACACAGATATACACCGAGAGGTGTATGCCTGTGTATATATGCTGAGATGAGTATCTCTGTGTCTAGAAGCAGAGTCTGCATTAAACCATAGTTCCGGGAATAACGTAGTGCTTAATGGTGTACAGATAACAAGCTGCCCTTATAACCTTCGAGTTGTTGATAAGTAATTAATATATATATATATATTTTATATATATAATATATATATATATATAAATATTATATATATATATATATATATATATATATATATATATATATATATATATATATATATATATATATATATATATATAATCTTTTAGGAGTGAAGAAGAGCAGAATGTAAGTGTGGTGGAGGTACGTGGGGCATTAAGTAGAATGAAAGGGGGTAAAGCAGCTGGAACTGATGGGATCATGACAGAAATGTTAAAAGCAGGGGGGGATATAGTGTTGGAGTGGTTGGTACTTTTGTTTAATAAATGTATGAAAGAGGGGAAGGTACCTAGGGATTGGCGGAGAGCATGTATAGTCCCTTTATATAAAGGGAAAGGGGACAAAAGAGATTGTAAAAATTATAGAGGAATAAGTTTACTGAGTATACCAGGAAAAGTATACGGTAGGGTTATAATTGAAAGAATTAGAGGTAAGACAGAATGTAGAATTGCGGATGAGCAAGGAGGCTTCAGAGTGGGTAGGGGATGTGTAGATCAAGTGTTTACATTGAAGCATATATGTGAACAGTATTTAGATAAAGGTAGGGAAGTTTTTATTGCATTTATGGATTTAGAAAAGGCATATGATAGAGTGGATAGAGGAGCAATGTGGCAGATGTTGCAAGTTTATGGAATAGGTGGTAAGTTACTAAATGCTGTAAAGAGCTTTTATGAGGATAGTGAGGCTCAGGTTAGGGTGTGTAGAAGAGAGGGAGAATACTTCCCGGTAAAAGTAGGTCTTAGACAGGGATGTGTAATGTCACCATGGTTGTTTAATATATTTATAGATGGGGTTGTAAAAGAAGTAAATGCTAAGGTGTTCGGGAGAGGGGTAGGATTAAATTATGGGGAATCAAATTCAAAATGGGAATTGACACAGTTACTTTTTGCTGATGATACTGTGCTTATGGGAGATTCTAAAGAAAAATTGCAAAGGTTAGTGGATGAGTTTGAGAATGTGTGTAAAGGTAGAAAGTTGAAAGTGAACATAGAAAAGAGTAAGGTGATGAGGGTATCAAATGATTTAGATAAAGAAAAATTGGATATCAAATTGGGGAGGAGGAGTATGGAAGAAGTGAATGTTTTCAGATACTTGGGAGTTGACGTGTCGGCGGATGGATTTATGAAGGATGAGGTTAATCATAGAATTGATGAGGGAAAAAAGGTGAGTGGTGCGTTGAGGTATATGTGGAGTCAAAAAACGTTATCTATGGAGGCAAAGAAGGGAATGTATGAAAGTATAGTAGTACCAACACTCTTATATGGATGTGAAGCTTGGGTGGTAAATGCAGCAGCGAGGAGACGGTTGGAGGCAGTGGAGATGTCCTGTCTAAGGGCAATGTGTGGTGTAAATATTATGCAGAAAATTCGGAGTGTGGAAATTAGGAGAAGGTGTGGAGTTAATAAAAGCATTAGTCAGAGGGCAGAAGAGGGGTTGTTGAGGTGGTTTGGTCATTTAGAGAGAATGGATCAAAGTAGAATGACATGGAAAGCATATAAATCTATAGGGGAAGGAAAGAGGGGTAGGGGTCGTCCTCGAAAGGGTTGGAAAGAGGGGGTAAAGGAGGTTTTGTGGGCGAGGGGCTTGGACTTCCAGCAAGCGTGCATGAGCGTGTTAGATAGGAGTGAATGGAGACGAATGATACTTGGGACCTGACGATCTGTTGGAGTGTGAGCAGGGTAATATTTAGTGAAGGAATTCAGGGAAACCGGTTATTTTCATATAGTCGGACTTGAGTCCTGGAAATGGGAAGTACAATGCCTGCACTTTAAAGGAGTGGTTTGGGATATTGGCAGTTTGGAGGGATATGTTGTGTATCTTTATATGTATATGCTTCTAAACTGTTGTATTCTGGGCACCTCTGCAAAAGCAGTGATAATGTGTGAGTGTGGTGAAAGTGTTGAATGATGAAAGTATTTTCTTTTTGGGGATTTTCTTTCTGTATGGAAGAGGGTAAGGTACCTAGGGATTGGCAGAGAGCATGCATAGTTCCTCTGTATAAAGGCAAAGGGGACAAAAGAGAGTGCAAAAATTAAAGGGGAATAAGTCTGTTGAGTATACCTGGTAAAGTGTATGGTAGAGTTATTATTGAAAGAATTAAGAGTAAGACGGAGAATAGGATAGCAGATGAACAAGGAGGCTTTAGGAAAGGTAGGGGGTGTGTGGACCAGGTGTTTACAGTGAAACACATAAGTGAACAGTATTTAGATAAGGCTAAAGAGGTCTTTGTGGCATTTTTGGATTTGGAAAAGGCGTATGACAGGGTGGATAGAGGGGCAATGTGGCAGATGTTGCAGGTGTATGGTATAGGAGGTATGTTACTGAAAGCAGTGAAGAGTTTTTACGAGGATAGTGAGGCTCAAGTTAGAGTATGTAGGAAAGAGGGAAATTATTTCCCAGTAAAAGTAGGCCTTAGACAAGGATGTGTGATGTCACCGTGGTTGTTTAATATATTTATAGATGGGGTTGTAAGAGAAGTAAATGCGAGGGTCTTGGCAAGAGGCGTGGAGTTAAAAGATAAAGAATCACACATAAAGTGGGAGTTGTCACAGTTGCTCTTTGCTGATGACACTGTGCTCTTGGGAGATTCTGAAGAGAAGTTGCAGAGATTGGTGGATGAATTTGGTAGGGTATGCAAAAGAAGAAAATTAAAAGTGAATACAGGAAAGAGTATGGTTACGAGGATAACAAAAAGAGTAGGTGATGAAAGATTGGATATCAGATTGGAGGGAGAGAGTATGGAGGAGGTGAATGTATTAAGATATTTGGGAGTGGACGTGTCAGCGGATGGGTCTATGAAAGATGAGGTAAATCATAGAATTGATGAGGGGAAAAGGGTGAGTGGTGCACTTAGGAGTCTGTGGAGACAAAGAACTTTGTCCTTGGAGGCAAAGAGGGGAATGCATGAGAGTATAGTTTTACCAACGCTCGTATATGGGTGTGAAGCATGGGTGATGAATGTTGCAGCGAGGAGAAGGCTGGAGGCAGTGGAGATGTCATGTCTGAGGGCAATGTGTGGTGTGAATATAATGCAGAGAATTCGTAGTTTGGAAGTTAGGAGGAGGTGTGGGATTACCAAAACTGTTGTCCAGAGGGATGAGGAAGGGTTGTTGAGGTGGTTCGGACATGTAGAGAGAATGGAGCAAAACAGAATGACTTCAAGAGTGTATCAGTCTGTAGTGGAAGGAAGGCGGGGTAGGGGTCGGCCTAGGAATGGTTGGAGGGAGGGGGTAAAGGAGGTTTTGTGTGCGAGGGGCTTGGACTTCCAGCAGGCATGCGTGAGCGTGTTTGATAGGAGTGAATGGAGACAAATGGTTTTTAATACTTGACGTGCTGTTGGAGTGTGAGCAAAGTAACATTTATGAAGGGGTTCAGGGAAACCGGCAGGCCGGACTTGAGTCCTGGAGATGGGAAGTACAGTGCCTGCACTCTGAAGGAGGGGTGTTAATGTTGCAGTTTAAAAACTGTAGTGTAAAGCTCCCTTCTGGCAAGACAGTGATGGAGTGTATGATGGTGAAAGTTTTTCTTTTTCGGGCCACCCTGCCTTGGTGGGAATCGGTGGGAATTGGCAGTTTGGAGGGATATGTTGTGTATCTTTATATGTGTATGCTTCTAGACTGTTGTATTCTGAGCACCTCTGCAAAAACAGTGATAATGTGCGAGTGTGGTGAAAGTGTTGAATGATGATGAAAGTATTTTCTTTTTGGGGATTTTCTTTCTTTTTTGGGTCACCCTGCCTCGGTGGGAGACGGCCGACTTGTTGAAAAAAAAATATATAAAATATTATATATATATATATATATATATTATATATATATATAATATATATATATATATATATATTATATATATGTCGTGCCGAATAGGCAGAACTTGCCATCTTGGCTTAAATAGCAACGTTCATCTTGCCATATATGACAAGTGAAAATTTGTGTATGTAATAATTTCGCCAAACTCATTCTGAACCTAACGAAAAAAATATATTTCACTGTGTTTGTTTAGTATTAAATTATTGTAAAGAAATCTAAAATATATTTAGTTGGGTTAGGCTAAAATAAATTGTTCTTATTATAATAAGGTTAGGTAAGTTTTCTAAGTTCCTTTTGGTGCAAAATTATAAATTTTTACATCAACATTAATGAAAAAAATATATCTTTAAACGTATAACAGAAAATTTTAGAAAGGACTTAATTTTAAATGAGTTCTTGCTAATTGACCAGTTTTACATATTCGGCACGACATATATATATATATATATATATATAATATATATATATATATATATATATATATAATATATATATATATATATAATATATATAAAATATATATATATATATATATATATATATATATATATATATATATATATATATATATATATATATATCGTCATGTAGGTGCTTTTATCTGTACAGGGAAGGCCCCAAGGAGATGGAGGCTTACTACGAGCTGTGTAATAGTCAGATTGAGAAGGTGGTTGGACTGGTCAGGGGTCAACTCTCCAAGCAAAACCGCACCACTCTTGGTAAGTCATAGCTCTTATTATTATTTATACCATTATTATTATTAGTAGTAGGAGTAGTAGTAGTAGTAGTAGTAGTAGTAGTTGTAGCAGCAGCAGCTTGAAGAGGACGTACAGTACCTGGGGAATGAGAGATAATCAGGTTCTATGCAAGGAAGGGTTGGGTAGCTCTATTTCCTTATTCATCATTGCCTTTATTGTTAATGTATAATGATGATTACTGCTTCAGGAGCACTGGTGGTGCTGGACGTGCACGCCCGGGACGTCCTGAAGGAGGAGATTATGAAGAAGAAAGTGACGGATCTTACAGATTTTACCTGGCTCTCTCAGCTCAGATATTATTGGCAGGTACGTCACGTATGTCACCTTAATTTTGATTTGTGTGTGCCCGTGCACACACGTGCACGGGCACACACACACACACACACACACTCAGTGGCTGCTTTATTAGGTACACCTGCTCAGTAATGCAGATATCTAATCAGCCAATCACGTGGCAGCACCTCAGTGCCTAGCAGCATACAGACATGGTCAACAGGTTCAGTTGTTGTTCAGATTGAACATCAGAATGGGGAAGAAATGTGATGTAAGTGACTTGACCATGGAATGATTGTTGTTGCCAGACAGACGGGATGGTTTGAGGTTCTTAGAAACTGCTGATTTGGGATTTTCACGCACAACAGCCTCCATAGTTTACAGAGAATAGCATGAAATACACAAAACATCCAGTGAGCGGCAGTTTCGTAGGCGAAAACGCCTTCATAATTAGAAAAATCAGAGAAAAATTGACAGACTGGTTCAAGCTGACAAGGTGATAGTAACTCAAATAACCATGTTACAACAGTGGTATATAGAAGAGCATTTCTGTACGCACGACACTTTTGACCCTTGAAGTGGTGGAGTCACAGCAGCAAAAGACTACGCTGGGTTCCATCCAGTCAGCTAAGAACAGGAAACTGAGGCTACAGTGGGCATAGGCTCACCTAAACAAGTCAGTTGAAGATTGTAAATACATCACCTGGATTGATAAATCTCGATTTCTCGTGCGACATACAGGTGATAACGTCAGAATTTGGTGTAAACCTTTGGGATGTGGAGGAACGGGAGATTCACAGCATGAATGTGCAGACCACAAATCTACAGCAACTGCGTAATGCTTTCACGGACCAGAATCTCTAAGAAATGTTTCCAGCACCTTGTTGAATCCATGCCACGAAGTATTCAGACTGCTCTGTAGGCAAAGTAAGGGCCTAACCAGTACTTGAAGGGTGTACCTAATAAAGTGGCCACTGAGTATATATACTATTCTTTAAAAAACAAATTGACCAAAAAAATTTTAATCGTGTGACCAAGAGCAACAAAAGTAAATAATCAGCTTCCTATAAAGTCACAGCTAAACCACAAATTGGAAACGGAAAATAGCTGATATTTTGGTCAATTCTGAATCATCACGTTGGGACTTCATACTGGCCCAGGATGCACCGTAACGTTATTCAGTTTCCATTTTCAATTTGGAGATTAATGTTGCGGGTATTATGAAGAATGAAAAAGGACTGAAATAATAGACATCCATTACTCTGGTAGCTGTATTGAATTATATAGCTATATGGATCCACGAGCCAAGGTCCTGGTTGTAAGGCGTCCTGCTTCCAACTGACTGCAGCCGCACAGGCATGTGTAGAATATGAATCGGAGGTCATAGGGGACAGCCCCACCAACCCTCAAAACTGATTAAAGAGCAAAAAGACACAATACCGTGACTGGAACATTACTCAGATAATCCTGGTGGTTAAAGCTCTCGCTTCACACGGCGAGGGCCCGGGTTCGATTCCCAGCCAGAGTAGAAACATTGAGAGTGTTTCTTTCCACCTGTTGCGTATGTTCTCATCAGTAAAATGGGTACCTGGGTTAGTCGAATGGTGTGGGTCGCATCCTGGGACACTGACCTAATTTGCCCGAAATGCTCAGCATAACAAGGGGCTTTCTATACAGTAGTATGTCATTGATGTCAGCTGGGCCTGTTTATCAAGTACATGTTCTTGTAGTAAATAAAGATATTATTATTATAAGAGAGAGAGAAGCTTATGACGACGTTTCGGCCCTTCTTGGACCATTCATAACTAATAACAGTAATGAAAGTATAACGACAGTGTATTAACAGTATTGACATTAATTGAGCCTTGTTTCAGCTATGGCATTGTGACATTTATTCTCCGAGTCCTTCTAATTGTAAATATAAACACAGTTAAGATTTTACCTACAGAAGTAGTGTTTGTATTCTAGGATAGTAGGGAAATTATACTTCATTGAACATGCTAATGTTGCTGTGTCTTTGACCTTAGTACAGAACCTAATCATGACATTAAGTGGTTGTTTTCTATATCATACAGGATACTAGGAAACCTAATCATGCAGGATACTAGGAAATCTAATCATGGCAGAATACTAGGAAACCTAATTTCCACGTTAATTGCTTATCTTCCTTTATTTTTTAAAGTGTGATGGACTTTAATTTTGACGTCTGCTTATATTGATAAGAACATGACAAAATAAGAATGGAGGAGCGCTGCAGTAACTTTATTGGTCCGTGTTGAAAATGGTATGAAACACCAACAAGTTGATGATTAAGACACATGTGCAATAGTTAGGTATCTTGATAATTGAAACGCTTCGCCTACACAGTAGGATTCTTCAGTCAAATACAACTTCACTACTACTCCTTCTGCCTTTGTATTTATCTGAAGAAGCCTACTGTGTAGGCTTCTTCAGACAAATTGAAGCCTACTGTGTAGGCTTCTTCAGACAAATTGATGCCTACTGTGTAGGCTTCTCCAGACAAATTGAAGCCTACTGTGTAGGCTTCAACTCTAAAGATACCTAACTGTTGCACATACGTCTTAATCAATTTACCAACGCATACTGGTAATGTTTTTTTTGTTTCTCAGTCCCAGCCCTTCTGACTCGTATATTTGTCCATGTCTTCTAGGACGACATCCTCAAGGTGCGGATGATCAACGCTGAGCTAGACTACGGCTACGAGTATCTGGGTAACACAGGACGTCTTGTCATCACCCTACTGACTGACCGCTGCTACCGCACACTCACCCAGGCTCTCATGCTCAACCTAGGTTCTGTCTTTTTTTTTTTTTTTTGGTGTAGTAAGAAGGCTTCTTTTGTGTGTAGTAAGAAGGCTTCTTTTGTGTGTAGTAGGAAGGCTTCTTTTGTGTGTAGTAAGAAGGCTTATTTTGTGTGTAGTAAGAAGTCTTCTTTCGCGTGTAGTAAGAAGGCTTTTTTTGTAAGAAGGCTTTTTTTGTTGTAAGAAGGCTTTATGTGTGCGTCTGTGTGTTTATGTACACATGCCTTTTCAGGCTTGCCAATGCAGTAATAATCTCAAGGGCGTACTGACTGCCCATCTTGCAAGACAATTTACGTCAGCAACAAGGCGCCTCAAGGTCACTGCACTCTCCCCATTATGATGTCTGAGCTGCAACACTCGTGCATATTCATACCTGAACCTGAAAATGCTTTCATATTACCTCCAGTATCCCCTTCTTCCTCACCTCTCATAAAGGGGCTGCGACCCCTCTCTCTTTTCGACAGCTGGAGACCACATGTGGGACAAGGTAGTTTTGAAGATCAAGGTTAGGTTAGGTAAGGTTCGTCAGGAAACAGGACAAGTGTTTCCTGACGCTGGTTTTAGTCAGATGATGACCTGCCGTTGGAGCTTTTGGTCATCTGACCGAGGCCTTCCGCTGGCTTATCGGTCACCCCTTTAAAAATTATGGTCATAGTTGTAACCATTTTTTATGACTATAATGATTTTGAAGATCAATATGTACACCAAAGCAACAGCTCTCATCTTGCACTTGTTTCATACCAAGCAGAATTAGATTTCACTGGTCAGACGAGATGCATTAACTAGTCACTTGTAAATAGTCCAAATCGGACCGAAACGTCGTCATAATTTTCTTTTCCCTATGTGTGGGTTATTTGTGCACCTGAGTGTAATATGTTGGCAAAATTACCGAAAATATATTAGATACAGGAAAACACGTGTGTAAATAACGAGACATTTAATTGCCGCCATAAAGCGTGTCCTTAGTTACATATGTTACCTCCTACCTAACATGTTGCGACTGCAACACTGATGTTGATTTCATGCAGGCGGCGCTCCAGAAGGCCCAGCAGGCACGGGCAAGACAGAGACCACCAAAGACCTGGCCAAGGCGGTGGCCAAGCAGTGTGTGGTCTTCAACTGCTCAGATGGTCTGGATTACATCTCTCTCGCGAAGTTCTTCAAGGTAGGTCACCCTCCCAAGATGCCTACTAACGTTTTGAGGGTAGGTACGATAGGGCTCAGAAGGCCAGGCACCGGTCAGTGTTGCTGATCGATGATGCTTGATAGGCGTGGTCCAGGAGCCAAGCCAGCTCTCTCTCTCTCTCTCTCTCTCTCTCTCTCTCTCTCTCTCTCTCTCTCTCTCTCTCTCTCTCTCTCTCTCTCTCTCTCTCTCTCTCTCTCTCTCTCTCTCTCTCTCTCTCTCTCTTCACAGGGTTTGACAAGGTTAAGGATCCCTAGTTTTATTAACAAGCTAATTACAGGTTAAGGATTCCTAACTATTGACAAGCTAAGAGCTGTTACCTACATCAGCTCATTTGAAAGCATTTTTATTGTTATGAGATATACAAGTAGGGAACAGGATACTCTCTCTCTCTCTCTCTTTCTGACACTATTTTATGTATTTAAATAAGTGAGTACAGACGGAGGACTGAGCCGTCACCTTACCTTTACCCACAAATGTGGTGCCTTGATGACTGTGAGGAGGGGCTCTTGCTCCAAGAAAGTGGACCTGTCCTCTCCTTGGACTGAACCTCATTGATTCCCATTCCCTATGCACTGTATGCAACCCCCCCCCCCTATGGATTTATCGCTTATCCCAGATTGTAATATATAATTCACCTTGTGCTAATCACCACCCAAACAATATTAATGTATTGTGTCTCTTCTCGATGCTTGCTGGTGGTGCTGACTACCCTCTACCTACGTCGCCACCTGTGCTGGCACCTATGATGGCACCTACCCACCAGGGCTTGGCATCGTGCGGTGCCTGGACCTGCTTCGACGAATTTAACCGAATAGAACTGGAGGTATTGTCAGTGGTGGCGCAGCAGATACTGACCCTGCAGCGAGGCCTTCAGTCAGGTGCACCTCGCCTCACTTTGCAAGGCACTGAGGTGATAGTGCCATACATGTTGTGTTCCTCCTAAGATGCTCTCTTAAAGTGTTCTTCATACATGAATCAAACCTGATTGCTAACCTTTCCCAAGACACTGTGTGATACATAAGGGAATCTATGTAAGATATATATATGTATATAATATAATATAATATATATATATATATATATAATATATATATATATATATATATATATATTTCAACAAGTCGGTCGTCTCCCACCGAGGCAGGGTGACCCAAAAAAGAAAGAAAATCCCCAAAAAGAAAATACTTTCATCATCATTCAACACTTTCACCACACTCACACATTATCACTGCTTTTGCAGAGGTGCCCAGAATACAACAGTTTAGAAGCATATACGTATAAAGATACACAACATATCCCTCCAAACTGCCAATATCCCAAACCACTCCTTTAAAGTGCAGGCATTGTACTTCCCATTTCCAGGACTCAAGTCCGACTATATGAAAATAACCGGTTTCCCTGAATCCCTTCACTAAATATTACCCTGCTCACACTCCAACAGATCGTCAGGTCCCAAGTATCATTCGTCTCCATTCACTCCTATCTAACACGCTCATGCACGCTTGCTGGAAGTGGGATACGGCCGGTTTGTTGAAAAAAAAAATATATATAAATATATATTTTTTTTAACAAGTCGGCCGTCTCCCACCGAGGCAGGGTGACCCAAAAAAGAAAGAAAATCCCCAAAAAGAAAATACTTTCATCATTCAACACTTTCACCACACTCACACATTATCACTGTTTTTGCAGAGGTGCTCAGAATACAACAATTTAGAAGCATATACATATAAAGATACACAAAATATTATATATATATATATATATATATATATATATATATATATATATATATATATGTATATGTGTATATATATATATATATATATATATATATATATATATATATATATATATATATATATATATATATATATATATATATATATATTATATATATATATATATACAGGTTCCTTGATAATGTGAGTAGTCACGAAAGCGCTTGGAATTTCTCTATTCTTTCAGAGTGGTTGTTTTGCATATATATATATATATATATATATATATATATATATATATATAATATATATATATATATATATATATATATATATATATACATGTATATATATATATGCTTCTAAACTGTTGTATTCTGAGCACCTCTGCAAAAACAGTGATAATGTGTGAGTGTGGTGAAAGTGTTGAATGATGATGAAAGTATTTTCTTTTTGGGGATTTTCTTTCTTTTTTGGGTCACCCTGCCTCGGTGGGAGACGGCCGACTTGTTAAAAAAAATATATATATTTATATATATAATTTTTTTTCAACAAACCGGCCGTATCCCACCAAGGCAGGGTGGCTCAAAAAGAAAAACGAAAGTTTCTCTTTTTAAATTTAGTAATTTATACGGGAGAAGGGGTTACTAGCCCCTTGCTCCCGGCATTTTAGTCGCCTTTATACAACACGCATGGCTTACGGAGGAAGAATTCTGTTCCACTTCCCCATGGAGATAAGAGGAAATAAACAAGAACAAGAACTAGAAAGAAAATAGAAGAAAACCCAGAGGGATGTGTATATATACATATATATGCTTGTACATGTATGTGTAGTGTGACCTAAGTGTAAGTAGAAGTAGCAAGACGTACATGAAATCTTGCATGGTTATGAGACAGAAAAAAGGACACCAGCAATCCTACCATCATGAAAAACAATTACAGGCTTCCGTTTTACACTCACTTGGCAGGACGGTAGTACCTCCCTGGGCGGTTGCTGTCTACCAACCTACTACCTATATAGTATAATATATATATATATATATATATATATATATATATATATATATATAATATATATATATATATTGGCAGTTTGGAGGATATGTTGTGTATCTTTATATGTGTATGCTTCTAGACTGTTGTATTCTGAGCACCTCTGCAAAAAACAGTGATAATGTGCGAGTGTGGTGAAAGTGTTGAATGATGATGAAAGTATTTTCTTTTTGGGGATTTTCTTTCTTTTTTTTTGGGTCACCCTGCCTCGGTGGGAGACGGCCGACTTGTTGAAAAAAAAAAAAAAAAAAAATATATATATATATATATATATATATATATATATATATATATTATATATAATATATATATATATATATATATATATATATATATATAATATATATTATGCAAAACAACCACTCTGAAAGAATAGAGAAATTCCAAGCGCTTTCGTGACTACTCACATTATCATAGTTCCTTGATAATGTGAGTAGTCACGAAAGCGTTTGGAATTTCTCTATTCTTTCAGAGTGGTTGTTTTGCATATTCTGAAATCACCTGTTTACTGTGATCTTATTGCATATATATATATATATATATATATATATATATATATATATATATATAATATATATATATATATATATATATATATATATGTCGTGCCTAATAGGTAAAACTTGCAATTTTGGCTGAAATAGCAAAGCTCTTCTTGCTGAGTAAGGCAAGCGAAAATTTGTATATGCAATAATTTCGCAAAAATAATTCTAAACCTAACGAAAAAAATATATGCCATTGTGTTTGTTTATTGTTAAATTAGGCTAAATTAAATTGCGCATATTATAATAAGGTTAGGTAAGTTTTATAAGGTTCTTTTGGTACAAAATTATTAATTTTTACATTAACATAACTGAAAAAAAATTAAACGTATAAGAGAAAATTTTAGAAAGGACTTAATTTTAAATGAGTTTTTGCTAATTGACCAGTTTTACCTATTCGGCACCTCTGCAAAAACAGTGATTATGTGTGAGTGAGGTGAAAGTGTTGAATGATGATGAAAGTATTTTCTTTTTGGGGATTTTCTTTCTTTTTAGGTCGCCCTGCCTCGGTGGGAGACGGCCGACTTGTTAAATATATATATATATATATATATATATATATATATATAAATATATATATATATATATATATATATATATATATATATATATACTATATATATATATATATATTCCTATATCTTATATTTAAATTATAGTGAACGCTGTATTATGGTTTAACATAAGATTCCTGTTCAGTGCATACACACACTGTGAGCAAAAGTGAATTCCAATACAGCAGATGAATGGTCTTGTATCGTCGTGGTAATGTAATCTCCTGGTATCTCTCTCTCTGCCAGGTGAGTTTGGATCCCACTTGTGCTGTCTTCATCACCATGAACCCTGGCTATGCTGGCCGCTCCGAACTTCCTGACAACCTTAAGGTAATTGTATACATGTGGTGGGTGTGAGTCGTGGAATTTTACTGTGTATGTATTGGTTTGCTCTCGTGTATGTTGTGGCATTTGTTATGTATTGTCGTGGTGTGTCAGCTGGGTTGCTATCGTGTATGGCGTGGTGTATGTAGCTTTTTTTTTGTCGTGGTTTGTTGGCTTGTTGTCGTGGTGCATGACGTGGTTTGTTGCGTGGTGCATGACATTGTTTGTTGGTTTGTTGTCGTGGTGCATGACGTGGTTTGTTGACGTGGTTTGTAAGTTTATTATCGTGGTGTGTCATGTTTTGCTGTGTATCGGTTTGCCTTGTGTTGTTGAGAATATTTTTGTTATGATGGTCATCAGATTGTGTGCTTAAAATCCTTTGACTAATTTCTTTGAAATGTGAACGTTAGAGTTTACATTTCTTTTACTCGAGTGAGTGTTGTTATAAAATCTTCATTATACTCTGTGTTTGTTCCATTTTTAAAACCCTCGAACCTCACACGTGTCCTCCACTCTTCCTCATTACTCTGGCACTCTTCCTCCTCCCTTAGTCACTCTACTGTTTCTTCCTTCATGCATTCTTCCTTCTTCTGGTACTCTCCCTCCTTTTTTTTGAGTACTCTTCCTCTCCCTTCAGGCAATATTTCCTCCTTCAGGTGCTCTGTCTCCTTCCTCAGACACTTTTATATTTCAGGGCAAGGAGAGAGCCTTCTGCTATACCCTTCTTATCTCAACTACTAGAAGCAAGTTGTAGCCTGACCGAAGTTAATCCCTATAAGCAGACAGTTTTGATGTGGACTGTTTTCTGCCTTCTCGTGTATTCCCATATTTTCCTTACCTAACATCATTTATTTCCATGTAATCCCACAGGCTCTGTTTCGCTCCGTAGCCATGATGGTTCCAGACTACGGTCTCATTGCAGAAATCTCACTCTATTCGTTCGGATTCGTGGCAGCGCGAAGTATGTCCCGGAAGATTGTGGCCACATACAGGCTGTGTTCCGAGCAGCTCTCAGCCCAGCCCCACTACGATTACGGTCAGTAATGTTGTTGCTCCCTCTTACTGGAATATGAGACGAATTTGTCACAGTACTATGACTGGAAAAATTCACAACTAACCAATAAACTGTAGATGAAAATTGGAAGACGTTTCTGTTCTGGATGGGCCAACACATCGTTCAGTTTTCATTCCCATTTTGTGGGTTAGTTGTAAAAAAACAGTATTTATACAGAGAGGTGTATTTTACTTTATACACTGAAAATTTACATTGGTCCATGTTGTCAGGATACAAGTACATTGCAACCTTAATGGCCCTTATGTAGTTAATAGGCATTAAACTTAACAAATTAACTGCTCTTACACTCTGTATTACTCAGTGGAGCTGAAGAACAAATCGACCGTGAAGACTACATTGTTATGGATTTTTTAAGAGGTATTCTTAGTTTAGTAACATTGAAATTTGTTAAAAAAATGAAACTGCAAGACAAATACTATTATGTGTGAATCCACATCCACCCTCAATACCTGGTCTAGCAATATCCATCTCTACCCAAGTGCTGGTAACTCCAGCTCTGCTGGTCTGAAAACTTTGAAGGTGTCGTACCTACTACACCTTGCTGAAGTTTCCCAGCTCAGGCTGACAAGCTCAAGATCAAGAGAGTATAGGTAAGATCCTTGTGGGATGAGCGGGGAAGTGGGGATAGTGGAAGAGTAGGTTGGTGAGGAAGGTTAAGAATGGAAGGGTTAGTACCAGGGCTTAACCCAGTAGCTGATCAGGCCGACAGAATTTATCACTTAACGTATGAAACCCATCTAGGGTGATGGAATATGTCAAGGAAATGTAGTTAGCTTTTATTCCTACTTGAGTTAGTATGTATGGAGCAGGGCAGCAGCTGGCTTTTGATCTGCCCAATGTTTCAAAAACCTCTGAAGCATACGCTTTCTCTTAGTAGATACTTTCTGTAGCACCCCATACCCACGTGAATAAATGGTTAAGAAGACCGACAAATTGATAAATGAGACACTTGTGCAACATTTATCACTTGTGGAACATGATGAAGATTGATAAAGTGAACACGTCGACTCCAGGCTGAAGGAATGATTACCTCAAACTTCTCATCTTTCACCTTTCTCAGTATTGGACTGAAGAAACCAATGGCTGGCGAAACGTTTCTAGAATAAAGGTACCCAAATGATGCACATACCCATGCCCATTTTTTCTTACATAACATGAAGCGTTCTCTGTCATCTTCCCACAGGCATGAGGACGGTAAAGGCCGTGCTGATCGCTGCGGGGACACTGAAGCTCAAGTACCCTGACATGGAGGAGTCCGTGCTGGTGCTCAGGTGAGCCACATCTCATAAATTCACCACACTTAAGAATATACATAACTTTTAATAGATGTGTTAGGAGCTAGAGCAGCTGAGCGGTTATAGTGATAGAAAAGCTTTTTAGTACATGTTTTAAGACACATGTACAATAGTTTGGTATCTTTATTATTGGAACGTTTCTCCTACACAGTAGGTTTCTTCAGTAACTGTTGTACATGTGTCTTAATCATCAACTTGTCGATATTTTATACTATTTTTCAACATAACATTAATATTGTTTAATTCATGTTAAGCGCTAAACCTATGTAGGTCATTCAGTGCAAGGCGTGGTGGAGGCTTGATCCTCCGTCTGCTGAAAGCGAAACAAACGTTCTTTCTTTTTATACTCGCCTATGTGTACTATTTTTGTATTATTTAAATTTAAGAAAGCCGGTTGACTTTTGTAAAAATAAAGAACAGAAATATTAATGCACTATACTATTTTTGTAGAGAGCATTTTAACATCAGGATCTTTTTAGTTAAGAAGCGAGATAAATGAGAAGTTACACCATTTTTAATGATTTGATAAATGTGAATTACCCGAGTTTCTTAAGCAACAGTTGTGATAATATATCTGCTTGTACAGTACCAGGAATGCTACAAGAGAAGATTCAGACCTTTCTTCTCTCGGCAGATCAATTCGTGACGTGAACTTACCGAAATTCCTCGCCCACGACCTTCCACTATTCGAGGTGAGTGACTACTGCTGTCCTAACCAACCAGGTTGGCAGGCCGCGTACCCTTAAGCTCCTACTCGATTGGTAGCGCACTCAGCTCACACACTGGTCCGGGGTTCGATCCCCGGTACAGGTGAAAACATTTTCCAGGAAGTGTTTCCTTAAGACCTGTTATCCATGTTCCCCTATCAGTAAATTAGGTACCTGGGGTATTAGTCGACTGGTGTGTTGCATCTTGGAGACAAAATTAACCCAATACGCCCGAAATGCTCTGCATAACAAGGGGCTTTCTATACAGTAGTATGTAATTGATGTACTTGTAGAAATAAAGATTATTATCATTATTATTTATTTTATTATTATTATTATAATTATTATTATTATATTATTATTATAAATGTCCTCAATAAATCCCCTGCATGGGAACGTCATCAGTAATGTTTTCTTGTAACTGTAGCTGGGTGTATATCCCATCTTGTTGACACTATATCATTACTTACTAGAATCAGCACCTCTCCTTGAACGAAACGTCGTCTGTATTAAGATTTGTGCTACGTGTGTTTGTATCACCCACCAACCAAGCTTTAGTTGACCTGGGTGTATCTTTTACATAAAGATTATTTATTATAATCAAAAAGAAGCGCTAAGCCACAAGGGCTATGCAGCTTTTACATAAAGAAAGGCAGCAATGCTCTGTATAAATTTGATTTTGTTTAAAACAGAACGAAGTCAAATATAAACAGACAACAATACTGCACAACTATTACCCTCTGGTATGCTGATAGTCATTATTATTATTATTATTAGTAGTAGTAGTAGTAGTAGTAGTAGCAGAAGTAGTAGTATTAATAATAATAGTATTATTATTATTATTATTATTATTGGGAAGAGCTACGCTTTTATAAGGGTTATACAGCATCTTGAAAATGAGAGGTTATCGGATTTGATCCGATGAAGTACAGAATAGCTCTCATCCCTTGGATCATGAGCACTTGAAGGGCATGAGAAGATATATTGTCCGCTCATTGTTTTCACCTGGCGTCACCTTACAGGCGCACTAGTACCCTGCTTCACCTTACAGGGCATCATCGCGGACCTGTTCCCCGGCGTTGTGTTGCCAGAGCCGGACTACACATACCTGCGCCGGGCAGTGAGGGAGGTGTGCGCCGGCGCGGGGCTGCGAGCCAATGACTACTTCATGGACAAGGTTCAGCAGGTGTATGAGACGATGCGGGTGAGGCACGGCTTCATGCTCATCGGTAACCCTATCGGGGGCAAGACGGTCGCTCTCAGGACACTAGCCAAGGCTCTGGCCATCATGAACGACCGGGTGTGTGGGGTGTACTATCCTCCATCTTTTAATAAATATCTCCGTCATTTCCTAATTATCCCCATTATTATCTCCATCACTTACTAATTATCTCCATCATTTACTAATCATCTCCATCATTTACTAATTATCCCCATTACTAATCTCCATTTACTAAATATCTCCATCATTTACTAATTATCTCCATTTACTAGGTATCTCCAGTTACTAAATATATCAGTCATTTACTAATTATCTCCATCACTTACTAAATATCTCCATCAGCACCACCACCACCACTTGCCTGATGGTCACTATCTCCCTCATTTACTAATTATCTCCACTTACTAAATATCTCCATAATTTAACATCTGCCTCCATCTTTTACTAAATATCTCCATCATTTACTAACCTACCTCATTTACTAACTGAATTCATCCTTTTGTACCTTTCATCATCTCTCGGCAATCCCACTGCCTATCCCCGACCCTAATTATCCATATCTATATCCTTCACCATCACTCGTCACTCCTCACTAATAGTAACTTCAGCTCTGCTGGACTGATATCTTTCAAGTAATTATAGGAGATGAACTTTTAATGGAATACCTTGACGATGTCCTTATTGTCCCACTGGAATCTCTCAGCTCTGGAAAAAGACTCAAATGCGATTCTTTGCTGACAACGTTTCGCCTGTTTGTGACTTGATAAATTCCACTGTGTGGGCAAAATGTTGTGTTGCATGTGTCTCTTTTTCCATCGTGTCGGTACTGTATACAGTTTCTCTCTTAGCTAACAGATATCAACACTGCCTGTAACCCATCCTGTGGGATGAAATACGACAGGTAAACATTGCTTGATTTTGTTCCCATTGTGTATCATATAGAATAAGGTAGTAGCACATTGCTGATGTGTCCAGTTTTGCTAAACGAAAAATGAAAAAAAAAAACTCACCGTGGTTCGTCAGGGTGAAGGTGAGAACCGGGTGCAGGTGTGTGTGATCAACCCGAAGGCTGTGACGGTGGGTCAGCTGTATGGTCAGTTCGACCCGACCTCCCACGAGTGGTCAGACGGAGTCCTGGCCGTCAACTTCCGCAAGTTTGCCGTCTCTTCCTCACCCGACAGGTATATATTTTTTTGTGTATGTGTATTTCATGAGATTCTGTTCAACCCTCAGCCTCCCTGGCTAGGAGAGTAGCGCCTCTTTTTGACGATTAGCTGACGATGGATCGAGCCTCGACTACGCCTTCAGCTGACTGGCCCACACAAGTTTAGTGGTTCACATAAACAAAAAATTCACTTTACGATATGGCAAAAAAATATGTATATTGCGAAAGGTATATTTCTCTCAGATTAATAATTATATATATATATATATATATATATATATATATATATATATATATATATATATATATATATATATATATATATATAATATATATATATATATATATTATATTATATATTTTTTTTTTTTTTTTTTTTTTTTTTTCAACAAGTCGGCCGTCTCCCACCGAGGCAGGGTGACCCAAAACAGAAAGAAAATCCCCAAAAAGAAAATACTCTCATCATCATTCAACACTTTCACCACACTCGCACATTATCACTGTTTTTGCAGAGGTGCTCAGAATACAACAGTCTAGAAGCATACACATATAAAGATACACAACATATCCCTCCAAACTGCCAATATCCCAAACCCCTCCTTTAAAGTGCAGGCATTGTACTTCCCATTTCCAGGACTCAAGTCCGACTATATGAAAATAACCGGTTTCCCTGAATCCCTTCACTAAATATTACCCTGCTCACACTCCAACAGATCGTCAGGTCCCAAGTACCATTCGTCTCCATCCACTCCTATCTAACACGCTCACGCACCCTTGCTGGAAGTCCAAGCCCCTTACCCACAAAACCTCCTTTACCCCCTCTCTCCAACCCTTTCGAGGACGACCCCTACCCCGCCTTCCTTCCCCTATAGATTTATATGCTTTCCATGTCATTCTACTTTGATCCATTCTCTCTAAATGACCAAACCACCTCAACAACCCCTCTTCTGCCCTCTGACTAATACTTTTATTAACTCCACACCGTCTCCTAATTTCCACACTCCGAATTTTCTGCATAATATTTACACCACACATTGCCCTTAAACAGGACATCTCCACTGCCTCCAACCATCTCCTCGCTGCTGCATTTACCACCCAAGCTTCACACCCATATAAGAGTGTTGGTACTACTATACTTTCATACATTCCCTTCTTTGCCTCCATAGATAACGTTTTTTGACTCCACATATACCTCAACGCACCACTCACCTTTTTTCCCTCATCAATTCTATGATTAACCTCATCCTTCATAAATCCATCCGCCGACACGTCAACTCCCAAGTATCTGAAAACATTCACTTCTTCCATACTCCTCCTCCCCAATTTGATATCCAATTTTTCTTTATCTAAATCATTTGACACCCTCATCACCTTACTCTTTTCTATGTTCACTTTCAACTTTCTACCTTTACACACATTCCCAAACTCATCCACTAACCTTTGCAATTTTTCTTTAGAATCTCCCATAAGCACAGTATCATCAGCGATATCATCATATACGACTAACCGAGGATTCGAACCCATGTCGTTTTGACCCGCCTCATGGTGAGCGAAAATGACACATGACCCTCTCACTGGACCACGCAATCGTACAAAGAATCAAGCACCCAGCAAAGCTAGGTGTTTTACCTTGATCCGAGGACATATGGGGTGCAGAATGAAATTATCTCAGAGGCACCCACATCACCGTATGTCCTCGGATCAAGGTAAAACACCTAGCTCTGCTGGGTGCTTGATTCGTTGTAGGATTGCTTGGTCCAGTGGATTAGAGCGTCATGTGTGATTTTCGCTCACCATGAGGCAGGCCAAAACGACATGGGTTCGAATTCTCGGCTAGTCGCAGTGTTGTTATTGATTCAATACCACTCACTCGTGGTTATATATATATATATATATATATATATATATATATATATATATATATATATATATATATATATATAAATGCTGAGAATTTAATCCCATTTTTAGGGATTAAAGTATTCTTGTCTGGTGGTGAAAAAATTTCGGTGCAGCCTTAATGACTAGTGTAGTCGATAGGCTTTAAACCCCATTAATAAATGATGACGAAGCTGTAAAACCGGTGTGGGTCATCAGCGCAAGTTGCTACTGTTCAGGCTCGATCCTTCATGTATTAATCACGGCTCGATTTCTGACCAGCCAGGCTGTTGGTGTATGCCTTGCTAGACAGGTAAAAGTCAAGTTAGAATTTACGTTTTCTGGTCTTTTTCATGCTAATGAAGGTCTCTCGATGCAAGGGATGGGAGCTATCCTGCCTTTCATTATACTTAACCTAATTATCTCCTATTTCACAGGTGTTCGTGATAATAATAATAATAATAATAATAATAATGTCCCTCGTATATATTAACATTAAGAAACCATATTACTATTCTAATTATTATTAAACCCCTTAAGGGAGGTTCTTTTATGCCGGTAAAGGGCTCTTGATCTGAGGAATTGGGCCTGTGCTCCCCTGTCTTGGATCGGATTTGAATGCTTCCCATTCCACCCTGGAATGGGAAGCAATCCTCCATGAATATAATATAATAGTAAAAAAAAGCACTACACCCACATGGGTCATACAGCAAAGCACACTACTGTCATGTCTTCGCCTGGTGACGCCAGGAAGTGGATCGTGCTGGACGGCCCAGTGGATAGCGTATGGATAGAGAACATAAACTCTGTACTGGACGACAACAAGAAGCTGTGCCTCATGTCCGGGGAGATCATCTGCCTCTCATCCACCACCAACATCATCTTCGAGGTCCATCACCTGGAGAATGCCTCCCCGGCTACGGTAATTCTTTCAGGGTGTGGTACCCCGTCCATTTCTGACCTGTTGTCTAGAGTTCTTGTACATGAATGGTATACAACACCGACAAGATGAAGAATTAGACACTTGCAACATCTAGGTATCTTTATTTGTAGACGTTTTGCCATTTAGATGACGAAACATCTACAAATAAAGACAGAGTTCTTGTTGGCTTGTGCTTTGAGTGCATTCATTTGTGTACGGACTTAACTAAAATCAAAATTAAATATTAGTTATTTTAGGTTAGGTTAGGTTAAACTAACCTTAATCAGCGTGTAGTCTTTACCAGCCACGATGCCACAACTATTACAGGATACAATGGCGTGCTACCGACAGTACCGTATAGATTCACATAGAAGAACTGTCAGACGCAGGACACATGTGGCAACGTTTGGTTCTGTGTAGAGGTTTAGAAAATTCTGCATAGAGAGAAAAGGTTGTGATAAATGACGGCTTTGCAATTGCGTCATTTCTTAAGAGACTCTCATTCATTGAGTATTGTGATGTTCTTGCCTTTTGTGACACATAACTGCATCCTTTCTTCCCTATCATTGATTGAATGTTGTGATGTTCATGCCTCTTGTAACATGTTACATAGATCCCTCTTTTCCAGGTTTCGCGTTGTGGGATGGTGTATATGGAACCGCTTGCGCTTGGCTGGCGTCCTCTGGTAGAGACATGGCTGGCCAAGCTGCCGCAGACGCTGACGCAGCAACACAAGGCTGTCCTCACAGCTCTCTTCCACCGCTTCGTGCCCCCACTGCTTTGCTTCGTTAGGAAATACCTGCTATGGTTTAAGCTGGAAAGGAGTGAGTCATACGTGCAAAAGGGTGTCTCCCCTACCACTGATCTCAACCTCGTCCGCAGCTTAATGAATATCTTTGACTGCTTCTTGGACGAGTTCACTGACCCTGCCTACACCAAGCATCACCCTGAGTCAGACATAAGGGCTCACCTCGAGGTAGGAGCAGACTTGGGATCATAAGAGGGCAAAGAGATTCATACAGGTGAACTAGCCGAGTTCATATAGGAAGCGCATTTGTCCCGAGCTCAGCAGACGGAGGATCAAGCCTCTTTCACGTTTTGAGCAGAATGACCCACATGGGTTTATTGCTAACATGAATATTACATATAATATTCATGTTATGCGCCTAATACCAGAAAATGAGTGTTATTCACTTTACTGCATGCATAGTCTCCCTGATGAGGGGCTCTTGATTTAAGGATTTGGACCTGTGCTCCAGTTTATTGAATTGTGTCTGATTGCTTTCCATCCTCCCCAAGCACTGTATGACCTCTACGGATTTAGCGCTGCCCTCTGAGTACAGTAATACGTCCCTAGCCAGAAAATATTTGAGAAACGGATACAGAGAGTGGCTGCTAGGCTATTTAAGATACACCATTATATATTTACTCTGCACTGAATGATCTAGGCGAGTTTACCACTTCATATTAATATACGTATTGTACATTTACTAATTTAAGAGATATATTAATTTTATCACCGTAATGTGAATTATTCAATTCTTAAATTTATGACATGCAGCCTCCCTCGTCAATGGCCAGAGAGTCCATCTGGAGTACATATTTCGAAATTCATCATATTCACCAGAATGGGAATTAAGATTAGTGGCAGCAATGAGATGTAGTGAGGGTGGTCGATACAATACACGGCTGTGTAGGCAGATGGAACCATTATGACTGGTGGAGGTGCTGTGCCTCATTGTTAGAGGCATAGTGAGGGTGGTTGACACAATGCTGTGTTGGGTAGGCTATGGTTTTAGGCAAATGGAATCATGATGACTGGTGGAGTTACTGTGCCTCATTGTTAGAGGAAGGAGTGAGATGACGAGTAGAGTCGAGCTGCATCTTTACTTTCATTTTATAGCCATTTATTTAGGAAAAAGGAAATTTAGATATTGTGTATGGAGGAGGAATCACCGAGGTTCTTCTGTAACTTGACTCTAACCTCTTCACTTTCTTCCCACAGAGCATTTTCTTGTTCTCAGCCATCTGGTCTCTGGGTGGCCCACTGGATGAGCCCTCCAGGACCAAGTTTGACCTGCTGCTGCGTGAACTGATTAGTGGAAGCCCCAGCAAGAAGACCACTGGCGAGTGAGTAACCTTCATGTACTTCTTTACTAACCTTATTTTTCTTCATGTAGGCTTCATACAACTTTTAAAAATAAAAATTCATATATTTTGTTGCTCTTACATCTGTAGTTTAGTCACGTACAAAATGTCTAGTTATTTTGTGGGAAAAACCTCATCGCCACTACTGGTTTCAATTTCAGTCTAACATGTTTTGTAAAAAAAAATGTTTGTGGCAGTTCACTTCTGCTTCTGTTTTGCGATTTATAGGATCACTGACTGAATGCTCACAACTTTCAGGAGCGAGCAGAGACTTAAGGTAATTGCTTAAATCACCCAGATCAAAATTTCATATTTAAATAATGCTTTGAAGATATGCATGTATACAATGTCGAACCGAAACATCGTCATAAGTTTCAGATTCCTAAGTCCGGGTTATTTGTGTATTCCAGTCACGGTATTGTGCTTTTTTATTCTTCAATGTCACGACAGGTTTCATTCTGTACGAAGACTGACGACAACTTGATCCACCATCAGGCAGTTGAGAGAAACGCTCCCAAAGTTCACCTAACGTATCAGTCGTATCGTTCGAATAAAAATGGAAGATAATAAGCTGTCACTAGATAAGCTCTCGTTGCACTTCTACAGGTACGGGCTGGGAGAAGTGCCCCCAGCACCACACGATTACCAGCTGCCCATTCCTGATGAGGACACTGTCTTTCATTACAAGTTTGTCAAGGAGGTGTGTATTTCTGTGATTTGTTATTGTTATTGGCCTTCTTGTTTCTGTTTTAGCATTATTAACATTATCAGTAGTAATGATTGGCAAGAAATTTCATTTGATCACCGTCATTGTTATGAAAACCTCGTTCCAAAATACCTGTCTTTCGAGGAACGAATGATCTCTTTCCCGGACGGAGTGATGTCCTACGGAAATTTTCAGCGAGCGTGAGAAAAGAAAAATTTCTCAACTATAACTTATTGTTAGGTTTCAAATAATTAGATGTTAAAAGGACCCCAGTGGAAATAAGTCATTTTGTCTGACTTTCTTTGGGTTATCCTAGCTAATTTACCCCTTTTATTATGCAAAAAGATCACAGTAAGCAAGTGATATCACAATTTGCAAAATAACCAATGAAAAGAAATGGGAAATTCCAAGCGATTTCGTGACTACTTTTTCACTTTGGTTATTTTGCATATTACTATAGATAATAATTGTACTTATATATACTTGTACCTAAATAAGCTTACTTATTAATTTACGAATGTACCAGGGACGTGGATACTGGCAAAAATGGAGCGAGGACCTGACTAATGCTGCCTCCATACCTCGCGACGTAGCTGCCCACCAGATCCTTGTTCCTACTGTTACTACTGTCCGTGTTGCTGCCTTGCTCAGTCTCCTGCTATCTCAGGCCAAGCCACTCCTCCTAGTGGGTCCCCCAGCCACTGGCAAGTCAGTCTACGTTTCGGTGAGTATGGCGTAGCTGGGGACTCGAAGGTCCTAATTCAGCCTAGGTATATCATAACTCAGTGGTAGAACGTTCGGCTCCCGACCGAAAGGAGCCGGGTTCACTAGATCGGCTCCCGGACAGATAAATAACAAAAAAAGGTACAATACCGTGACTGGAACGATACACAAATAACCCGCACATAAAAGAGAGAAGCTTACGACGACATTTCGGTCCGACCATTTACAAAGTCACACTGTGACTTTGTAAATGGTCCAAGTCGGACCGAAACGTCGTCGTAAGCTTCTCTCTTTTATGTGCGGGTTATTTGTGTATCCCGGACAGATGGCCGGCGGACATTTGGCCGAACGGGCATTTCACCGAACATCGGATAACCGCACAGTTCGTCAGATCCAGTTGCATGATGGGTCTCTTCTAGAATATGTAAGCAGATACAGGTATCTAGGCTTTGAGGTTCCACTACTTGGACCTGTTGTAACGAGACTTTGTCGCCAATACAAAGAAAGGCTGAGAGCACTTAGAGTTGTGGCAGGTTTTCATCCCAGGTATGGTGCTAATGTTAAAATTGTGAAAATGATGTATCTTGCTTATATTAGATCATTGGTTGATTATGCAGCGCCACTACTTGCACTCGTGTCTGACTGGAAGCTTGGAGGGCTGGAAAAACTGCAAAACGAAGCAATGAGGATCATCCTAGGATGCCCTCGTACTGCCAAAATTTTAAATATGCGGAAAGAACTTAATATTCCAAGCATTAGAGATCGTGTTACTGAAAGAAATATCCTTATTGGGGTCAATATGCTTAGGCTAGCCCATTCAAACCCCTGCACAGAAGCCCTCCAAACTTTCCTCAGCACTGGTGAACATCCTTCCAGATGGATCGAAAAAAACTGGAACCGACCTCCGCATGAACCAGCTACATGATCTATATCAAGTTGGACAACAGAGACATTTCCCTGCTCCATGGGATATTACCCCATTATAAACTACCATTCCTCCATTTCCCCCAAAACTCTTCTTAAATCACAACCAAAGCTTCGTCTTGAAGCCAAACATGATGCCTTAAGCTGTATTGATAACTTAGTCACACAGAACAATCTTTCACAAATTATTTACGTCGATGGTTCTGTTCACCAGTCCACTGGTGCAGCTGGTAGTGCTGCTGTTGTCACACAGAGTGATGGCTCTCATAAAGAAATTGGAGCACGCATCAATAACTGGGCCTCTACCCTTCAAACAGAACTGTTTGCCATACTCCTTGCACTCAAATGTGTCCATGTATCTAAGGTTGACACTTTAATTGTAACTGATTCTCTGTCATCCATAAATGCTCTCAACTCATTAAGTATAAATTGTGGCATGCTTTTGTCAGAAGCCAGACATAGATATGGTAAGATTGTGGACAGTGGAGTCAGAGTGCACATGCTGTGGATTCCATCTCACATTGGTCTTCAGATGCATGATAGAACTGATAAATTGGCTAAGCTGTATGCTTTCAAAGAGGGGGTAGATTACAATCTTGGGTTGTCATTTAGCAGTTTGAGAACAATAATACGAAAAGAACTTCAAATGAACTTTATTGACTTAAGACTTAGGGAGATTGACACAAGTCAGTCCATCTATCATCATTCCATCATGCAGGAGGAGCCACATGTCTATGGTGCATCCAACAAGATAAGTAGACTCTTGGATGTCACTACTGCCCGGCTCCGGCTGGGTTACAAGTATCTTTGGCAGGTTAAATCACCACCACCAGATGTAGACCAAACGAAATGTAAACTTTGCCAGATGGACTATTGTCACACATTGCGTCATTATGTACTGGAGTGTGATCAAATTAATGAATTTAGAAACAACTCACTCAGAAGTGTTCAAGAAATGGCTAAGTATTTTATCCACAGTGGTATATTGCAGACCATTCTGGAGAAATACCCTGACTTTGCTAGCTGTAAATAAAGCATTACCACATGTGTGCATGTGTGTGTGTGTGTGTGTGTGGTGTGTGTGTGTGTGTGTGTGTGTGTGTGTGTGTGTGTGTGTGTGTGTGTGTGTGTGTGTGAGGGTGTGTACTCACCTATTTGTACTCACATATTTGTGTGTGTGTGTGTGTGTGTGTGTGTGTGTGTGTGTGTGTGTGTGTGTGTGCGTGTGTGTGGGTGTGTGTGAGGGTGTGTGTGCGGGTGTGTGTGAGGGTGTGTGTGTGTGTGTGTGTGTGTGCGTGTGTGTGTGTGTGTGCGTGTGTGGGTGTGTGTGTGCGTGTGTGGGTGTGTGTGTGCGTGTGTGGGTGTGGTGTGTGTGTGTGGGTGTGTGTGTGTGGGTGTGTGTGAGGGTGTGTGTGTGGGTGTGTGTGAGGGTGTGTGTGTGTGGGTGTTGGTGTGTGTGTGTGTGTGTGGGTGTGTGTGTGGGTGTGCGTCCTTGTGTGTATGCATATATTTGTACGCTCGTGTGCACATGTCCGTGCGTGCGCCCTCGTGTGTGTATGTGCGCGCGCGCACTAGTGTGGGTGTATGATCCACTTAATATTTGTATTTATAACTCATTACAATTGTGACCAGGTGTGGACGTATCAGTGGTTCATTACTTTGTAATTTGTTCATGACTGTAACCATGTATAGGAGTGAAGCTGATTCATTACCTCTGTAACTTGCCATGATTAGTGACCAGATCTACCTGGAGTTCATTACCTTTGTAACTAGTTCAGCTATCATAACTTTGGGGTCCAGTCACTGGACCCATTATGTACCTTTGTAATCTTTTGACTACCGCCCACAGGATGGGTATGGGGTGCATAAAGATATTAAACTTAAGTGTGTGTGTGTGTGTGTGTGTGTGTGTGTGTGTGTGTGTGTGTGTGTGTGTGTGTGTGTGTGTGTGTGTGTGTGTGTGTGTGTGTGTGTATGTGTGGTGTGTGTGACTCAACAATCATATTTGCACCAATAACTCATTACAGTTGTGACCGGGTGTGGAAGTGTGAATTGCTCATTACTCTATAATTTGTTCATGATTGTAGCCAAAGTATAAACGTAAGTAACCATTCTACAGAATTCATTACCTTTGTAACTTGTGAGCTCATTACCTTTGTACCTAGTTCAGCTATCAAAACTTTGGGGGCCCAGTCCCTGGACCCATTACGTACCTCTGTAATCTGTAAATACCTTAGTAACTTGTCATGATTGTGACCAGACTTACCTGGAGTTCATTACCTTTGTAAATTGTGAGTTCATTACCTTTGTAAATTGTGAGTTCATTACCTTTGTAAATTGTGAGTTCATTGCCTCTGTAACTTGCTCAGCTATCAAAATTTTGGAGTCCAGTCCCTGGACCAATTATGTACCTCTGTAATCTTTTGACTACCGCCCACAGGATGGGTATGGGGTGCATAATAAACATATTAAACTAACTTAAACTAACTAACATATCCTAACCTAACCTCTCCAAACCTAACCTCTCCAAACCTAAGGTATCCTAACATATCCTAACCTAACCTAACCTATCCTTACCTAACCTAACCCAGATATCCGATATTCGGTGAAATGTCCGTTCGGCCAAATGTCCGTCGGTGAAATATCCGTTCGTCCAAATGTCCGTGGGTCATATCTTGAATTAATGTATTCCAGTTAACCTTTTTTGAGACTTAGTTCATAGGCCTTTTGTGTATCCATATTCTTTCATGCTACCGCCACAGGATGAATATGGGTTGCACAATAAACTAGCCACTTCGGTGGCAAAATATAAAAATCTAATCCTCAAAGGACTCCAGTGAAAATAAGTCACTTCAATTTTTTTTGTGGTTATCCTAGGTAATTTACATATATGTTACTATGCATAATAATTTGTGTAACTATTTATGTGTACTTGTACCTAAATAAACTTTCTTCTTCTCCCCTCGAGGGTCCTTGATGCTGGTGAGGGGCTCTTGGTCTAGGGAATTGACCCTGAATACCTTCCATCCCCCCCATGCTCTATAATCCTTACAGGTTTAGCGCTCCCCCATGATTATAATTCTTCTTAGCACTCGCAGAAACTATATCATATACAGTCTTCAGAGAGATACGGTTATGGTCATTTGAAAGAAAGAAAATGTATTATGGGATTCAGGGATAACTGAACAGATGTGATAGGATTTAATTTATGTTTTCGTGCGTAAGTTAAAACGGTCTTCTATAGCGCGTTACGTAGAATTTAACCTAGAATAACCATTTAAAGTCAATGTGATTTACAATGCTTCCATTTTTTGGTTAAGTAGTTATGTCTATGTAGTGAACATACCAATGGAAACAAGTCTGACTATTTCGAGTTATCCTGGGTAATTTACAGATATGTTACCATGTATGATAATTTGTGTAACTGTATTTATGTTTATCTGTACCTAAATAAACTTACTTATCCTGTCATCTATCCATATTAATATTACCGATAATGAGAGCAACACAAAAATTTATTTATCAATTTAAAGTTACATTATAAATAATGTAAATATACAAGAAATCATTAACTTCCTTTTCTGCCACTCCATTATTAGACAGAAACTATTTCATATACACATAATTATGATTATCCTTTAGTTTTCCATGGCTCAGTGTAGTACTTCTCAGTGAACTAAAAAAATGGTCTAAAGTTACCCAGGGATCAATACATTGCGTCTCACGGAATTCAGATTATGCTATATAATTATCCAGTTATCCATACACCGCATTACTCAGAGCTCTACAAGCTTTTTCGTTACCCAGAGATTAACAGTGTTGCTTTTCCCTGAAGGATTTCCTGCGTAATAAGCTGAAGAGCGACGTATACAAGCCCATGTTCGTGAGTTTCTCAGCCCACACCACCACTACTCACGTCCAGGACCTGATCATGAGTGGGTTGGACAAGCGCAAGAAAGGTAAGCCTCTCTCAAATGCGCGCCTTATGCCGAGGCTTTTCACTTGAAGTACGCGGATGACGGACACCCGTGCTAATATCTTTCTTATTCTTGTTACAATACATTTCTTGATTTCATGTGAAGTTTTAGTGTATGTGCTGTTAACCATGGTGGATGTTGGTAATTAACATCCATATTGGAGATGAAAGCTGAATGACGTTTTTGATTCATTCATGGTCCATTATCTAGCGACTTGATAATGGTACATTTTGGACCGAAACGTTTAATTTTCATGGACAGTTTGCGAATTAATTGCGAGTTGTTCAAGCCACGATATTGTAATTTTTATTGTTCATATTCCTTGTCATTACATAAGCTAGATAAATGAGGTACATATATAATATTTAGAGACAGTTATTACCGCAATTAAGGTAATTTAGTAATTCACCAGTGCTATGAATAATCTGTTGGTGACAGCACTTTCCACATTTCAGAACTTCCTATCTAGCTGTGTTGTCTCTGCGGCTTGACAAGGAGTTCACATTATTTCATTTCAGTCATAAATATGTGATTTTCGAACCCTGTTTAGGTGCGTCTTGGTGATTTATTCGTTAGGAAACAACAAGTGTTTCCTGGGCATGGAATGGTATGTAAATATTGACAAAGTGTAGCAGATGACACTGGCAGTGGATACCATTATTCACGACTGTTTCACCATTGCAATTGCATAGGTGAAAAGTTATTATTAACAAAAGCATTCGCCTCATTTAAGTATCATTTATTCCACAAGTGTTTCCTGATAGGGTGATAGGGATATTTATCAGACAATAACTCGTGCCAGAACTCTGGCTTACCTTAACTACGTTTTACACTCCATTCAAAAAAAGAGAATCATTTGCTAGCGGTGACCCCGAGATGAAATTGGTGTGCACACAGGTGTATACGGGCCACCAGTAGGGAAGAGATGTGTTCTCTTCGTTGACGACCTCAACCTGCCGCAGACAGATGCTTTCGGTACACACCCTCCTCTGGAGTTGCTACGACAGCTGGTGGACCACGCTACTTGGTATGACATTAGAAAAGAGGTCGAACCAATCCATTTGGAGGACATGCAGGTACAATCTCTGATAGGCTACGTCCTTAGAATCTGTTATTGTTATAACTTTAAACAGTAATGTTATATTACGGGAAAAATAAAACCAACAATTGTACACTGATATACATATTTGTTAAATTATCTGTAAGTTTGGCAGAAAATTCACAAAAGATTAATGCACTAAACTGAACACCGTTGATAAGATTTTCAGTCCTTTCGCATGCTGAAGGACTGAACAGTGCTGAAAACCAATTTGACTTGTTTATGTATCGATATATGTGAATTTATGAGATGTAGAGTTTTGTTTACTGATTCTCTCGTTTCTCTGCTCCCTTCATCATTTTCTTGGTCACTTACCTGAACGCTAACTGTTACAGCTGGTGTCGACCATGAGTCTGCGTGATAGTGGCAGGACACCACTCACACCTCGTCTTCTACGACACTTCAACGTGATTGCCGTCAACGACTTCGATGACGCCACCATATACGCCATATTTTCCAAGGTCTGTGCAATGTTAATAAATCTGCTAGAGAATTAAATATTTTGCTCTAGGGAAATATACACTTTAGAGTACTGTGTTTTTATAAGTATACATTAATTGCGACATTTGATCATGCAATTGCCATGCTCAAAGTTTGTGGAGTGTAAAAATTCGAGTTTCAGAGTATATGCCAAGAACTGCATATATCTCATTATATTTGTACAAGTGAATTTCAACTGAAGATAATTTATGCACAGTCAGGTTTTAACCGTAATTATATACAAATAACCCGCACATAGGAGAGAGAAGCTTTTGTTTAGTTCCAGTCACGGTATTGTGCCTATTTGTTCTCTAACCGTAATTAACTAAAAAATTTTACAGTCTGGTTGTACAAGCGTGTTCACTTAGCAGTTGACATAGTCGCTATACAGTGCAGCATCAACCCCTTCTTACAGATCTTGCTGTGGCACTTGGACACTCGTGGCTTCAGCAAGATGTTTGACCCATGCATTGGGGAAATTGTCACGGGGACACTGGAGGTGTACCGGGCTGCAGCGACCCACCTGAGACCCACACCTTCACGTTCACACTACATCTTTAACCTTAAAGACTTTTTCAGGGTTATCCAGGTTAGTTAAAATTTCTTTATGTCGTCTTCAATCTTAACGACTTCTCTCTTTTGGTTATCCAGATAAATTTAGCTTCTTGATGACTAAGAAACATGTGTAACACCTGAATTTTGGATTGAAAGAAACTGGTTGGTGAAACGTCTTCATCAGTAAAGATACCCAAGTGTTACACCTGTCTTTATTCATCAACTTAGTATTATATACCATTAATGCAATGGTTAAGACTTTCTGAGTCTGACACATTAGATGGTGTCTAACACTGGCTATGTTGCTACCATCAAAGAATAATTTAAGTGTATATTCAGAACAGTCAGTATTTGTCTAGACTCAAGAACCTTGGAACTCCTTCCTTCATAAATTTCGAGTGGAATTTTTCCGCCTCGAACAATACATGCGTCCTTCAGTTTTTTTCAACGATCTTTAAACTTTTAGTCTTTCGTTTTTTTTTTTTTCAAATGACCGTTTTCAAGTTCAGGCCAAAGATGCCAAGACTTCTGTGTTCTCAGCTGCACAGATTTGATCAGATCAAATCATAAGAATTTTCAAGGTAGTAATGGGTCAAATTATTAAGGATTTTCTAGGCTGTAATAACTATCAAGATGAAGTTAGTCAGGATTTCCTAGGTTGTAAGTATGCATTCAGGGTCTTCTTCCTAGTCAAGTTTTCCCACTGCCTTCGTGTCCACAGGGAGTGCTATTGTCGGTCCCGGAGACCATGGAAGATCTGCGGTCCATGAAGAAGATGTGGGTGCACGAAGTACTTCGAGTTTTTTATGATCGTCTGGTAGATACCGCCGATCGCAGGTGGCTCCTGGACCGCGTTGCAGCCGCCTGCAGCAACCATCTGAACGAGAACTTCCACCATCTACTGGCTGAACTAGACGAAGATGGCAATGGAGAGGTAAATACTTGCTTTCTTTACACTTATGCAACATATGGGAATCTTTATTCAGGAAACGTTTCGCCACACAGTGGCTTCATCAGTCCAATAAAAAGTAGAAAGGCGTAAGGAGAGGAGGAGTTTGAAGTAATCAGTCCCTCAGCCTGGAGTCGATGTGTTCAGTCCATCAATCTCGTAGAATGTACAGCATAGGACCGTAGAAGTGGCTTATATACTGAAGTGAGGTGAGGTGAAGCAGGAGGAGGTGGGGTCATAGTGGTACCATCCACTAGTCGAAGTAGGTCTTCGTCCAAAGGTTGGACAGGTGTTGAAGAATTCTTTGTAACAAGATCCCATGATGCTGCAGTGTCTGACAGTTGTGATGAATGGTTTGAAAAACCGACAAGTTGAAGATTGAGACACTTATGCAACATATGGGAATCTTTATTCAGGAAACGTTTCGCCACACAGTGGCTTCATCAGTACAATACAAAGTAGAAAGGCGTAAGGAGAGGAGGAGTTTGAAGTAATCAGTCCCTCAGCCTGGAGTCGATGTGTTCAGTCCATCAATCTTGTAGAATGTACAGCATAGGACCGTAGAAGTGGCTTATATACTGAAGTGAAGCCACTGTGTGGCGAAACGTTTCCTGAATAAAGATTCCCATATGTTGCGTAAGTGTCTCAATCTTCAACTTGTCGGTTTTTCAAACCATTCATCACACTTGCTTTCTTTAACTGGAATATAGCGGGAGGGTGTTCCGGTGTCAAGACCGCAGCCCGGTCCATGACCAGGCCTGCTGGCCGCACGCAAACCGACGTACGAACAACAGCCCAGTTAGTCATGTACTGACTTGAGGTGTCTGTCAAGCTCCCTCTTGATGACAGCCAGGGGTCTATTAGTAATTCCCCTTATGTATGCAGGGAGGCACTTTAGCACATTGTTTTTCACAAGTAACCCACAAATCAGATGTGGAAACTGGAAAACCTCTTAGTACATTCCGGACCATTTCATCTCGTTCATTAATTTAGTTAAAACGTCTGACTCGCATATTTTACGATTTTTTTTATCGATAGAATTTAGTTGTTAATTCTAAAAAGATATTACTCATGTTTAAGTTTTCAGTTAAATCATAAACAGTATATTACTTTTCGTATATTTTTTCTTACTCCGCCATTATTTGTTTACATTCTGAAACTGATGCAACTGCCCCACTCGAATGCACAAATAAGAAAAAAATCAATACAATCACAAACAGGCGATCTTAACAATGCAGAACAAGCCACTGTTGCTGTCTTACAACATTGCATAGCTCCTGATGATGCACGAGTGGGAAAGATCTAGAGCTAAAGATTTCCATCCCCAGGTGATTTATTCTGCATAAAAAATAATCCTGATTATATCATTCGCTGCAGGTGTCTGAGAGCAACTTGCGTAACCTTGTGTACTGTGACTTTGCTGACCCCAAGAGTGAGAGTCGCCACTACGTTCAGGTAACTGACCCCAAGAGTGATTTTTTCCTGTATATGAAGCAATAATCCTGTGAATTATTCAGGGCCTGAGAGGTAGAAGGTTGATCCTCCGTCCGTATGTTGATATGTCCAGTTTGATAGCTGATCCCAAGTGCGATTTATTTTTTGTATTGGTGAATTGATTTTTTAAAACTGATCAATGACCATTCCCCCCAAAAAATGATGGTCTTCACTGTAAAGGCACAGCTAAATTATTTTTATATATTTATATTGTATTATTAATATTCATTCTTTAAAATATTATTAAACATTCTAAGGAAAATAATTTCGATTTTGTTTAATCTTTTCTTGAGAGGAGATTGTATGAACCCAAATTTTTAGTTCTCTTAGGGTTCTCTGCCACAATTAGCTTCCTTTCATTATCTGTCAGATCAGTTAACCTCATAAATTAATAATAACAAACGGAAAAGCAACGCTTGTAATAGAGTGAAATTTCCTAAGATATAAACTTGATTTCACACTCCGATGTAATGCTGAAATATGTTTCGGTGTGGGAATTGAGAGATGATAATTCCCAGGTGATAGTAACTTCAGCTCTGCTGGAAATAAACATATCAAGCTTACGCAGCTGATGAAATACTTGATGATATCCATATCACTGAAGTCACCCAGCTCAAGCTGACACATTCCAACACTAGTGGAAAGTGACAGGGAAAACATAGGTAACTTTTACCCACACTGTGTAACTATCATATAGAATAGGCTAGTAGCATACCGCCGGTGTTTCCGATTTTGATAATAAAAAAAAGATCTGTGGATGACTGACGTGTCTGTAGCAGTATAAAAAAGTGTTGAGACAACTTTTGTACTAATGACCTGTATTGATTATACCAGGTGGAGGACCTGGAGGGACTCAGGTCAGTAGTGGAGGGTTACCTTCATGAGTTTAACAACATGAGCAAGAAACCCATGAACCTCGTCATGTTCAAGTGAGTGCTAGTTTCTTTGGTTAGTTTAATGGGGGGGGGGGGAGGGGGATAAAGCCTATCGAGCCACACGAGGGGTCATTAAAGCCGCATGTAACCTGTTCACCACCAGTCAAGTATATCTGAATCACCTCACATAGGGATTTTAGTAAACTAAGTGTATACACACTAAGGACTATACATCTCGGTGTATACACACTAAGAAATGTACACCTCGGTGTGTACACACTAAGAAATATACATTCGGTGTATAAACGCTAAGAAATATACATTTCGGTGTATACACAATATACATTTCGGTATATACACACTAAGAAATATACATCTCAGCGTATACAGACTATGATACTAACTATATTTTCTTTATTTGTGTTTTGATCCAAATTCCGTTTTCTATATTTTGTGACCCCTCAAGGAAGGCTCCTTGACGCTGGTGAGGGGCTCTTGATCTAGGGAATTGGATCTGTGCTCCAGTTGGATCTGTGCTCCAGTTCCCTGAATTAAGCCTGAATGCCTTCCATCCCCCCATAGGCGCTGTATAATCCTACGGGTTTAGTGCTTCCCCCTTGATTATAATAATAATAATATATTTTGTGAATACTGAATTGACTTCATTTTCTTGTGTATTTTGATCCAAATTCCGTTTTCTCTGCTTTTGTATATTGAACCAAATTATTCTCTTATATTGTATGTGGCCCAAACTGTTTTCTTTACTAATCATGAATATTGATCCAAACTGTTTTCTGTACGAATATTGTTACTGATCTAAACTCCGTTTTCTTTCTCGTTTATACTGATCCAAACTCCGTTTTCTTTCTCGTTTATACTGATCCAAATTCCATTCTCTTTATCTCGTTTATATTGATCCATAATCCGTTTTCCTTACTTCTCGTTTATAGTGATCCAGAATTCATTTTCGTTAATTTCCGCTTATATTGATCCTAACTCCGTTTTCTTTACTTCTCGTTAATATTGATCGAAACTATTTTCTTTACCTCTCACTTATACTGATCCAAATTCCGTTTTCTTTACCTCATTCATATTGATCCTAACAATTTTCTTCTCGTTTATATTGATCCAAATTCCATTCTCTTCACCTTTCGTTTGCACTGATCCAAATTGCGCTGTCTCTGAGTCACAAAATCTGGCGCATGATACTCGCAGGTTCGCCCTGGAGCACCTGGCGCGGATCTGCCGCGTTCTGCGCCAGCCGCGGGGACACGCCATGCTGGTGGGCGTGGGTGGTAGCGGCAGACACTCCCTCACACGCCTCGCCGCCCACATCACTGACTACGAACTTTTCGAGGTAGGTAGGTAGGTAGGTAATGTTCGTCAGGAACCAGGACAAGTGTTTCCTGACGCGGGTCTTACTCTTATGATGACCCGTAGCTGGAGCTTTTGGTCATCTGAAAGAGGCCTACCGCTGGCTTACCCTTCTTTCTCTTTAAAAATCGGGGTTATGATTATAACTTTCTGAGGTGACCAACTGCTCTTATGTGTAATACATAGAGCAGTGAGATTAGTAACAAGGGGATACGCTAACATACATAACAGGGAATACACACAAGCATACATAACAGGGATACTTGCTATCATACATAACAGAGATACATGCTAGCATACTAAACAGGGGTACACACTATCATACATAACAGGGGATACTTGCTAGCATACATAACAGGGAATACACACTATCATACATAACAAGGAATACACACTGGCATACATAACAGAGGATACTTGCTATCTTATATAACAGGGATACATGCTAGCATATATACCGGAATGCACACTAACATACATAAGATATACATGCTAGCATACATAACATAGAATACACACTGGTATACATAACACGGGATACATATTAGCATACATAACAGGGGATACATATTAGCATACATAACAGGGGATATATAGGCTAGCATACATATTAGGGAATGCACACGAGCATACATAATAGGAGATACTTGCTAACATACATCACTGGGGATATATGTGCCAACATACATATTAGGGAATACACACGAGCATACATAGCAGTGGTGGTAGCAGTAATTACTTTCTATCAGAGACTTAAGTCTACACTTGCTCTCTATATTTTGTGTTGTGTCTTTTGTCCGTCAGGACACAAGCTTAACCTGACGGTGGTGTGAATCATGGATGGTCTGCTTGTTTGCTAATCTAAGTGAATCATGGATGGTCTGTTTGTTTGCTAATCTAAGTGAATCATGGATGGTCTGCTTGTTTGCTAATCTAAGTGAATCATGGATGGTCTGCTTGTTTGCTAATCTCAGTGAATCATAGATGGTCTGCTTGTTTGCTAATCTATGTGAATCATGGACGGTCTGCTTGTTTGCTAATCTAAGTGAATCGTGGATGGTCTGCTTGTTTGCTAATCTAAGTGAATCGTGGATGGTCTGCTTGTTTGCTAATCTAAGTGAATCGTGGATGGTCTGCTTGTTTGCTAATAGAAATGAATCATGGATGGTCTACTTGTTTGCTATTCTAAGTGAATCATGGATGGTCTGCTTGTTTGCTAATCTAAGTGAATCATGGATGGTCTGCTTGTTTGCTAATCTATGTGAATCATGGACGGTCTGCTTGTTTGCTAATCTAAGTGAATCGTGGATGGTCTGCTTGTTTGCTAATCTAAGTGAATCGTGGATGGTCTGCTTGTTTGCTAATCTAAGTGAATCGTGGATGGTCTGCTTGTTTGCTAATAGAAATGAATCATGGATGGTCTACTTGTTTGCTATTCTAAGTGAATCATGGATGGTCTGCTTGTTTGCTAATCTAAGTGAATCATGGATGGTCTGCTTGTTTGCTAATCTAAGTGAATCATGGATGGTCTGCTTGTTTGCTAATCTAAGTGAATCATGGATGGTCTGCTTGTTTGCTAATCTAAGTGAATCATGGATGGTCTGCTTGTTTGCTAATCTAAATGAATCGTGAATGGTCTGCTTGTTTGCTAATCTAAGTGAATCATGGATGGTCTGCTTGTTTGCTAATCTAAGTGAATCATGGATGGTCTGCTTGTTTGCTAATCTAAGTGAATCATGGATGGTCTGCTTGTTTGCTAATCTAAGTGAATCGTGAATGATCTGCTTGTTTACTAATCTAAATGCTATTGTTGACGAGGGTAGGTGGAGATGAGCAGGAGTTACGGGTTAACAGAGTGGCGGGAGGACCTCAAGACTATCCTGAAGAAGGCAGGCACTGGGGAGCAACACATTGTCTTCCTCTTCAGTGATACTCAGGTTAGTGTCTTTACATAATCTTTATTTCTACAAGTACGTGATACAACTTATACAGACCACAGCTGACGTCAGTGACATGCTATATATAGAAAGTCCCTGGTTATGCAGAGCATTTCGGGCAATATAAGTTAATTTTATTCCCCAAGATGCGACCCACAGCAGTCGGCTAACACCCAGGTACCTACTAGGTGAACAGGGATAGCAGGTGTCTTAAGGAAACACGCCCAGTGTTTCCACCCTTATCGATGATCTCTCTCTCTCTCTCTCTCTCTCTCTCTCTCTCTCTCTCTCTCTCTCTCTCTCTCCTCTCTCTCTCTCTCTCTCTCTCTCTCTCTCTCTCTCTCTCTCTCTCTCTCTGCGAAAGGCATGATTTGTCTTTTTTGTACCATGATGCAGTCAATATAAAATTTAACTTTAATTTAGGGTTTGAATAATATCACGATTATTACTTTTCCCCGCCAGCCGTAATAACCAACATATAACTGTGTTATAAAGTGACTTTACCTTCTTATTCCAAGTGGTTTCTCACTTAATAAAAATATATAAAAAGTCACAGAACTCCTAAAAGTGTTCTTCGTGGAACACAAACACACAAGTCATCTGACCAATCACAGGGACGGCGTTGGAGGGTGGGTGGGGGCAGGAGGGGGGCTGAAGCCCCCAGAATTCCATTAGCCCCCAAAGACCCCTAACTTACAGTAATAATAATAGGGATGCTGCAAGACTAGTCCCCTCGCCTCCTTTTCCAGCCAGACTGCCAATGATAATTAATAATAATAATAATAATCATAAACAAGTGTCTCATTTATCAACGTATTGGTTTTGTAAATCATTTATTCACACCCACTAAGATAATCTTCGAGTCTACTGACACTTTAATGTTGTTCCTCAGATCAAGGACGAGATCTTCCTCGAAGCGATCAGCAGCATCCTGAGCATCGGGGAGATCCCTGGACTCTTTCCGACGGATGAGAAACACACCATCTGCGACAAGATGAGGAATGTTGACAGACAGCGGGACAAGAGCAAACAGGTGTGGCTTTCGTGTGCTGAGTTGTCGAAGGAGTAATAGTTGACTCACGAAATCGTAATATAACACGATTGCAAACAAACCACGGAACGGGTGGGGTTTAAACCTGTGGCTAGTGAGTCGTAAAACTCCAGTGGCTTACGCACTGGCCTGGAGTTTTATGACGCACCCGTTCCGTGGTTTGAGTGATGGTGAAGGTGCTTCCTTCTTTGAGTCACCTTTGATGGAAAACAGCAAATATGGTAAATAATAAAAAAAAGTTTTGATAGGCTTTTGCACTAAAAGGGTTCACACAGATTTAATGATTCGTGAAAAAATGTGTGTTGGTATTGCATAAATTAATTATTCACTGATATTACACCATTTCATCTTGCACATAAATAATGCAGACATTCAATGGGAGAATAATGGGTGAAAATATGGAGATTTGGAGCATCCATGAAGATGGTGATGGGCTTTTGATTCAAGGAATTTGAGCTATCTACCTTTCCCACTGCTAAAACCTGATTTCCCCTACTTCCCCAGAAACTATGTGATCCCTTAGGGGTGTAGTGCTTCCCCAGAAATTTAATAATAGTAATAATGTGGTGGTGACAGACTGACGGGAGCCCAGCAGCTCTGTGGACACTCTTCGTGGAGCGAGTGAGGGAGCAACTGCACGTAGTGCTGGCCATGTCCCCCTGCGGTGAGGCCTTCAGGAACAGACTCCGTAAGTTCCCAGCCCTCCTCTCCTGCTGCATCATAGACTGGTTCCAGGTGAGATACTTTCTCTGTCTGTCTGTCTCTGTCTCTCTCTCTGTCTCTCTCTCTCTCTCTCTCTCTCTCTCTCTCTCCCTCCCTCTCTGTCTATCTATCTATTTTTCTGCCTCTCTCTAATACGCTGGGACTCGAATATGCATAGTGATGTTTTACCAAGCTTTCCTAATAGCCTCTGACATTTTTCTGCACAAAATATATAAAACTAAGTCACATAATACACGAGGTCATTCACAAGACTGACTTCCAGGACTGTTTTACCGACTAGGATGCCTTTGGATCCTTGAAGACACCTAAAGAATCCTGCGAGTGGGGTTCCCCAAGAAGTGGTCTTTTGGCTCCATCCTCACAGTCTATATAAATAACCCTGAAACAGGACTAAAGTCATGTGTTTAAACTTTACCTTCAACGCAGCAATGAGCATGAGCTCTTCTTTGTAATGTTTTCCATTGATTTTTAATGGGATTGGACTCAAAGCACTGTTACGCCAGCTGCCACTTCAAATAACCTCTCCTCCACGTTTCTCACCATGCGTTTAAAAATGCATATTTGAAATTCCTACACTGCCAGATGTAGGTCACATGTCTCACTTTTAATTTCATTATTGTGGGATAAATGAAAATATAGGTTAATATATGTAAACGTAACCTAACCGAGGAAAACGAATATCAATATTTGGCTGTTATTTTAAGCATGCACGAATGGCAATTCGTGAGAAACTGGCTGAGTTAATTCGAAAATAGACCTTAGCTCATGAGACATTAGACCTTTTATCCTGATGAAGACAGGATTTTATACCCTTGTTCTTTTCAATATAACTAATACTTCATTAGATTTTTTCTCCTTACGAAGCAAGACTCCCATGCCTGTCCTTAGTGTTCATGGTGGCAATTCCAGCGAACAGATTGGGCATCTTTTACATGCTGACCTCCTCTTATTCTCCCCACTAACACTTTTTTTCCCATTAAAGAGTTGTTGCATCTTTTATTCACTTCTCAACTGCCTATGCCACTAGCACCCAGTGTCTCCTACTCTCACAGGCGTGGCCGGAGGACGCGCTGGAGGCTGTGGCACTGAGGCTGCTCCAGGGAGTGGAGCTGCCTCCAGAGACTCTTAAAGGCTGCGTCTCCCTCTGCCAGTACTTCCACACCTCCACCCAGGACCTCTCCGACAGGTAGCGTCAGTATGTCAGCTTCACAATGGCTCCGATGTCAGGAGTGGAAAGACTCGTTCCCAGTTTTGGTTTCTGTTGTTACATATAAAACGTATTAATTATTTAAGAGTACTTGCTTATGATCATGCATGTTTAAGTCGGCCCATTCTGTTTTCGATTAAAAATTAAGCTTTTACTCATGTTTTTAAAAGCCCACTACTTAATTAATTGAGGTATTTTTAGGTTAATATGCCCAATGTATTATAAAGTATATTTTTCATGGTAATACCGCACACACACAAAAAAAAATCTCAATTTTTTATCGTCAGTCTTCATTCATTGCTTGTCCTCTTGGAAATTATAGTAATTCCCTTTTCACTTGGTTGTCCTAGCACTTCCCACGTCTTAGTATTCCCTGGTTGTCTTAGTACTACTCTCTTCATGTGTTCATCCTCTCTGGTTATCCTAGCTCTTCCCGATCCACATTTTTGCCCTTCCTCGTTGTCCTAGTCATTTTCCAGTGTTTGTATTCCCTGGTCATCATGTTCACATGTTTGTGCTCCCGTGTTTATGTTTCCTGTTCATCGTGTTCACATGTTTGTGCTCCCTGTTCGTCGTGTTTACGGATTTGTGCTCCCTGTTCATCGTGTTCACGTGTTTGTGCTCCCTGTTCATCGTGTTCCCGTGTTTGTGCTCTCTGGTCGTCGTGGCACTTCCCTCCCCATGTACTCACCTAATTGTGGTTGCATGGGTCGAGCCACAGCTCCTGGCACCGCCTCTTCATTGGTCGCTACTAACCAGTGTCTTCCCTGGTTGCTCACTGACCAGTGTCTTCCCTGCCAGGTTCCTGAAGCAGCTACGTCGCTACAATTATGTAACACCCACCTCCTACCTGCAGCTCCTCCACACTTATATGGTCATCCTGGAACGACGCCGAGGGTAAATAATTCCTCGATCTTTACCATCTGCTTAACAAAAGAGCTTGATTTAGTTAATTGTAGAAATATGAATCAGTGAATAACTAAGATATAATGGACAATTGTTAGTGCTCAGTAATAGCTCACATGGAGATAGAAACTCTCAGAAGATGCATTGATCTCTTTATTTCGATCTCCTTCTGGGATCCTCTTCAGCAGATCTGCTGAAGGGGGTCGAAATATACAGATCAATCAATCTCCTGAGTTTCTCCATGTGGGTTATTACTGAACACACGAATAAGTGTTTGTGGTGAGCCCTAACCTGTGTATGGGCCAAACAGGGAAGTCAAGAAACAAGAGTGCCGCTATACAACGGGTCTGGCGAGGCTGGAGGAAGCGGAGACCTCAGTGCTTGCCATGCAACAGGAGCTGCTCAATCTGCAACCCATCCTCCTCACCAAGACCCGCGAGGTTGAGGAGAAAATGGCTGTCGTGGAGAAGAGGAGAGGGGAGGTGGCAGAGGTCAGTCAGTTTCTTTCTCCGAGGAGAGTTTGGAGAAAATACTTAGGGGTTGGGAGGATAGTAAAGATGGCAGATGTTAGTGAGAGTCTTGGTCTGAGGAAACTTTGCTTGAGAATTGTCGTCAGGGGTTTGAAGTAGAGGCAATGCACTACATAATAGGCTTCCTTATTGAAACAAGGTTCTTGAAAATCAAGAGTGCTTTATTCATCATATTATTTAAAACAAAAAATAATATTACTGAAGATTTACATGTTTTATACATTATAATTGTCATTCTGCAATCTAAATTCCTACCTTCGTTTTTGCACATTCTGCATGAGGTAGAAGGACTTCATACACCTAAGTGAGTTTGATTAACGCTATGTAGAGCTGTCTGTGTAGGTGAAGTTACCTATATTGGTGCAGGTTAGGTTAAGTAAGTTTTCTCAGGAAACAGAACAAGTGTTTCCTGACTCGGGTCTTAATCATATAATGACCCACAGCTGGGGCTTGTGGTCATCTGACCGAGGCCTTCCACTGGCTTACCTCTCCACCTCTTTAAAAAGTATTATTATGATTATAACCATGGTGCAGGTTAATCACCCATTATATGTGGTGGTGCAGGTGGAGCGCGTGGTTCGTCAGGATGAGGAGGTGGCCAACGAGGCCGCAGAAGCAGCCAACGGGATCAGAAAGGAGTGCGAGGCAGAACTGAACCTGGCCCTCCCACTGCTGGAGGAGGCCACCGCCGCCCTCAACACCATCAAGCAAGACGACATCGTATTCATCAAAGCCATGAAAAACCCTCCGGCAGGAGTGAAGCTCGTTATGGAGGCTGTCTGCGTCCTCCTTGTTAGTATTGTACTTCTTGTAGATAGTCTTCTTCAAGGAATTGAAGTTAAATATCCCTTCCTTGGAGAAAACATGCTTGCTTCCCATTCCCCAGGTGCTATATGGCCAGTGCTGCCCAATAAAAATGTTTTCGTTATCAATCTTCTATAGTTTCAGCCTTTAAGAAAATTCAAATACAGTACTTGGTTTAGGCATATTTAGCCACTTATACTTGGTCAGTGTAAAAATTAATCTAATATCCGGAAGATAATTTCCAAAACTCTCTAAGAAGTGGAGATCAGAGGTGCCAGAGAAGGCATAGGGCTCTAGATTGTCTCAGAATGACTGTGGGATTGAAAACAATTAAATAATATATTGTTCTAATCTACGAACAGCAGCAGACGCAATACCCACCCTTAGAGTAATAAATGGCCCATGTAGATTTAATACCTATTTTTAAATATAATAAATGATGTAGTTCTAAATGCTGGTTCTCTAAACTATCATTAGCGCTGTGTTGTCATCAGCTAACTGTATTATTTGACAAGCTTTAACAGGAACAACCACGTAATCTACATTTACGTGGGTGATAGGGGACGAGAGACAAATATTTGCTCTTTGAAATCTGAATTACTCTCAGCAGACATCTATTGTGTTATTTTAACACTAATACTGTTCCTGATTCTTCCTTTCACAGACAGAATCCACTACCACAGAGCACTTATCATGCGCTGTGTATAGACAACCTCAACATTTAGCATTTCTTTGACGACTCTCGGTGTATAATCTGGGATAATGTTCAGAAAGTAATGCTCAATCAACATTCATGAATTTCTGTCTCCAAGTCGCAGCTAAACTGCGAACTGATCGAACAGAAACACCGTCCAGTTTCCACTTCAAAGTTTTAAGTTGTGAGTTGTTTCGGCCACAATATTATGACTAATTCTTCACTGTTACTTCCGCAGGGTGAGAAACCAGACCGGGTACCAGATCCTCAAGGGACGGGCAAGATGGTTGAGGAGTATTGGTCCGTCAGCAAGAGACTGCTGGGAGATATCAAATTTAAGGTATGCTGCCTCTCTAGGCTCCTTGTCACAACGGCAAGAAAGACTGAACTTTCCACACCGAATTGTGGGTCAATTGCTATTGTTCCAGCCGTAATATTGTGGTTTTTATTCTTTAATGTGAAATTTGTGGAATGGCTTGTTAATATATGATCTTTGGTGGCCCATACAGCAAATACATCACCTTCTTGAAGATCTTTAGATAGTACGTTGACGAAGGATGGAGTCTCCACCACACCTTGCATTTTATGACCTACTCAGGCAGGTCATTAGAGTAAAAGGTGAATTGTGGCCTTAATGACCTGTTTTGTCAAGAGCTTCAATTTTAACTTAAAAGTTTGTAATAGATGTACATTTTAAAACATCAGTCATCTTCATCATCACTGAGTGTAAGCATCAGTCGACACTGTGTGACTTTCATATCTTTCTGCAGGAAAATTTGTTGAATTTCGATAAGGAGAACATCAGCCAGAAAGCCATCCAGACTATACGCTCCAAGTACCGTGACAACCAGGAGTTTAAGCCAGAGAAGATCATGGTGGCATCCAAGGCGGCAGAGAGTAAGTTCATCAGTTAGTCTATTAACCTGACTTTCATGTAGGATTATTTTTTTACGCGTTACAGTTCAATAATGTCTTCGATTTAAACCCTAGTTAAAAATTGTTAGTTAGTCTAGGTTAGGTTATGTTAATGTTAATTGATCAGTATTCATGAAATGAAAAAAGAGGCGATCCAACTGTTGTGTACTCAAACCACAGGTTGAAAAATGCGGATTCATATACGATATGTGCCGTTCAAAGAATGTAAACGTGTTGCAGGTTTGTGTAAGTGGGTGCTGGCGATGGAGAGATACGAGGAAGTGGACCGCAAGGTAGCGCCCAAGAGAGAAGCTCTCCAACGTGCTGACCAGCAGTACCAGGGCCTGATGGGAGAGCTTCGCAAGAAGCAGGAAGCACTGAGGGGCGTCCAGGAGGAGCTAGCGGGTCTCCAAGCAGAGCTCGACACTGTTAAAAAGGAGAAGCTGGAGCTGGAGCAGACGGTGAGAGGTCTAGGGGAGGAATTAAAAGTCACAGTTCCCGTGGCCGGAACAATTTCCGAAATAACCCCAACACTTTGGAAAAGATACTTGAGAAGACATTTCGATCCATTCTGAACCATGACCGAGTAACAACTGTTACTTAAAAATAATCCAAGATGAACCAAAACATCATCTAAAATGTCCTTTCCAAAGTCCGGGTGAACTGTAGCAAAATTTAAACCAGTAAATCCTAGTAAATTGTAGTACACTGCTAACACGATCTTTTGTTATGCAAGGTGAGAACCTGTCATCACATTTTATGTTGTGATACTGACTTTTTGGATAATAAACGCTGGTGAATGGCACACAGACGGAAACAAAAAAGCAGATGTGATGAGTATCGCATATTTCTTCCTTACACTAGTGCCTTCTTTAGTAAACTCAGCCTCGTGTTCTCCTTCAGGTAGAATTGTGTAGTATTAAGAAGGACCGTGCGGAGCAGCTGTTAGCAGCTCTGGGAGGAGAGAAGACCCGCTGGACCGACAATGCCCACCACCTAGCCCAAGTCTACATCTACCTTACAGGTACATCTACATTAAAGATACATCTGCCTTGCAGGTACATTTATCTTACAGGTGCATCTACCTTTTACGAGTCTTATTCACAGTTAGTCTATAAACCGGAAACAAAAACTGGATGACGTTTTGGTCTACTCTGGAAAATTGCTACTTTTCGATACGTCCAGTATTATCGTCAATTTTCTTGCTACATTATCCGACATTACTGTCCTTTGTGGACTGTTATCAAATGCTTTAATCCCTCTTGAAAAATATCAGACGCCTCGGTCAATCTTTCGTTCGTCCTGGTCCATGACTTGATAATAACCTCACAGTGGTTAAGGACAGACCATTTCAGTGGTCCAGGACAAAATATTTTAAATCCAACCTGTGGGTTAGTTGTGAACTGTTCCAGCCACTAAATTGTGTCTCATTCTGCCGTAGGTGACATGCTGTTGGCAGCAGGTGTGATAGCTTACTTGGGAGCCTTCACACCGGAGTACAGGATGGAACAGACTACCCGTTGGCTGCAGGAGTGTCGCGAGAGAGGTGTTCCCTGTTCCGGAGAGTTCGTCTTAGCCTCGGTTAGTTCTTAGTAGTCTTGGTTTGGAAGGCAGGGTGCCGGCAGGATGTTTGATGCAAAGTCGCTTAGGAGTGTGCGTGTGTGTGTTATGCGAAATGCTGGAGGTTCACTCCTCCTTGAGGGACTTAATTAACCCTTAGTGTAAACTTGATCAAGATTTATCAAAACTATAAAGCGATCGGCTATCTAAACATTGTCTTAGTAAACGTTTGCTCTGCTCTAAGTAACTGTTTTTGACATTGCCTTCAATGCATAACTAAAGTGGTATGAACACTTTTTTTTTTTCAACAGGTCGGCCGTCTCCCACCGAGGCAGGGTGACCCAAAAAAAAGAAAGAAAATCCCCAAAAAGAAAATACTTTCATCATCATTCAACACTTTCACCACACTCGCACATTATCACTGTTTTTGCAGAGGTGCTCAGAATACAACAGTTTAGAAGCATACACATATAAAGATACACAACATATCCCTCCAAACTGCCAATATCCCAAACCCCTTGTTAATATTAAATAATAACCCACATGGAGATGGAAACTCTTGAGATTGATCGATCTGTATATTTCGACTTCTTTCTGGGATCATCTTCAGCAGAAGAGGATCAAATATAGCATAGGCATGATTTCTACGTATAGTTCTCGTATTAACGATTTTCTTTAGATTGTGCTGGCAAAACCGCTAGTTCATTGTGCACCTCGTATCTACCCTGTGGAGGTAGCAGAAGAGCATGTGGATACACAAAAATCTTAGGAACTAGCTACTAAAGGGGAAACAGGCATACATCTTGATGTATAATTGTTTTGTTACAAATAGCCTTTTGTTAGTTTTTGAATGTAATGCAGTTTTTCCAGTTTATGTGATTTGGAAGCTTGTTTTTCACATTGTTGAATTTACATATTAATAGCTGTTGTCATGCCTCAACTATTTTACAGGCTAATAGATTGTCCTGCCTCAGTTCCTTTACTGGCTAATAGATGTTGTCCTGCCTCGGCTCATTTACAAACTAAGAACCTTAGTTCATTTCAAACCCCTGCCATGCCAGTCGACTAACACCCATGTACTTATTTACTACTAGGTAAAGATGGGCAATAAATGTAATTAGACTTGCCCACACTTCTCACCCCCACCTGGGAACCAAATCATCATCACTGTGGTTTTGAGCAGAATGCTCTATATCTTATAGTTAAAGGGTTGTGTAGTCTAGTTCCTAATTATTTTTAATGTATTCCGTGTGTGAAAGATTTAATTTCCTAGGTGAATTATCCTCTACATTAATACACATGACGGTTGTATCTAGTGTACATAGTGTTGAATGTAAAGGAGCATCAGAGTGTAACGTACACTTGTCAGTACGAAGCTAAAATCCACTTATATACAGAAACTGGGATTGCCTTGGGTAAATCTGCTGATAAGAATCTCAGATGGAGGTCGAAATATTCAGATCCTCCCCCATCTGTGTGTCTGCTTACACGTTGATTTTACCTTCGTAGTGCAGAACATGTGCAACATCGTGTGGTGTTTGTGGTTGCTTGCAAATTGACCGAAGCCTCGTGTCTTCTCAGGTGTTGGGAGACCCACTCACCATCCGTGACTGGACACTCAATGGCCTGCCCACCGACCCCTTCAGTATAGATAACGGTGTCATTATCAGGTGGGTCTAGTAATGTCATCACCTACGTTCACTAGGGGTTCAATAACTCCACCTCTCCATATGAAGTGATAAAAGCCGCTTTTAGCACTTCATATGGAAATAAAGGTTTCCATTCCCACGTGGCTTGTTCTGCATTGTTAAGATCGCCTGTTTTCGATTGTACTGCATATGAAGGTAAATAATTCCTGCAGTCACTGCTGTTCTTTGAAGAACATTTGTTAGTGTACATAGAATGAAATCTACGAGTATTTTATGCATATCTATGTGCAGTTCATGTATACAGGTACTTTTGCAATATTTGAGTTTATAAATGCATGAAGAAAATGTGTTAAGACACTTTCTTAAACATTTCGAGATAGATATAATTTGAAAGCTGTCTTAATATTTATCAGCAATGTGTGTGTGATCTCTCGGTAGTGTATTTATGTCATTCTCTGTTGAGAATACATTTACAGTCATCTTTCTCGAGTATTTTAAACACTTTGTCACTTTTTTATTATATTGCTCATTTTAATGCTGAATTCTGTCATCCCTGTTTTCTTACTCTTCCTCTCCAGTTTACCCAAATCTTCCTGTTGTGGTTGAAGGAGAATCAGAAGGCCGAGGTAACACACGTCTTGTTTATTTAGCAGACACCATAACCACAATAACAATAATTTCCACAAACCTAAAGTATCAATGATATAATACTCAAGCTAGCGTAGAAGAGTGAATTGTCTCTTCATTCCTATGCTGTAGGATTACATTCCCTGCTATCTCTTCTCAATACACAAATAACCAGCACATAGGAGAGACAAAAGTTTACGACGACATTACGGCCCGACTTGGACCATTACAAAGTCACATTGACTGTATTGTCACAGTGTGACTGTATTGTGCCATTTTGTTCCCTTTTCAGTACCTAACAATTTCACGTAACTTTTTTTACTTTATCTGTAAACATGCTCATATAGTTAGCACTTCCTTACGACAGAATTCATGTAACTTAAGAACGTTACTGAGGCCAGTACTGACCCTTGAGGTCTCCAAGCCCACCCTACCATGCGGATAGTTCCTGCCTAGCTGGTTCTTCAACGCACTTTTCTGTCACTTATTCTTTCTCCTGTCTGTTCAACAGTAACACAACGCGGTGGCCGCTGCTGATCGACCCACAGGGCCAGGCAAACAAGTGGATCCGTAACATGGAGAAGGACAACTCGCTCCAGGTGGTCAAACTCTCGGATCCAGATTTCATACGCACCTTAGAGAACTGCATCCAGTTTGGCCAGCCGGTAAGTACAGCAGGTCCTCGAATAACGTTGTTTCGTGCAACGTCGTTTTGTTATAACGGTGATGAGAAAATAAAATCGAATGAATACACATTATTGTAAAATAAAACTCCGTAAAGTATACGATAATCATAAGAATGCACGACAATAAACGATGTGGTATGACAGTGCTCAGCGAGCCCGCCATATTTGTTATTGTTGAACTGCCTGGTGGTAGGAGATGCTCTTTATAATTTTTGCTTTGCAAACCTTTATTCCTTGATTTAACCCTGTTGCAGTGAGTGCTAAAGGTGCACTGGGCCCCCTGATGTCTGTGGCATAAAAAAAAAAAAAACAGAAAATATGTGACATTGATTTCGTTATACATCGTTTTGCTTAAAGTTGCAGTTTCCATGAACCTATCGACGACGTTAAGCGAAGACTTACTGTACATAGCCTACTATAACTTAAAGAAAATCGTATTTGTATAATTGCAGTAAACTTTGGGATAAGTGTATACTGATTGTTGGTGATTCACTGCTCATAAGATAAGCACGGCGTGCACTGTAAACCAGCCGCTCAGGCGACACAAGTACCTAAATGGTAGTGGGTCTGGATGGAGGCTCCAGCCTTAAGATAAGATTTGTTAGAATTTTTAACCCTGGGAGGGTTAGCTACCCAGGATAACCCAAGAAAGTCATTGCATCATCAAGGACTCTTATTTCCATTAGGAGCTTTCAATCTTGTCCCCCAGGATGCGACCCGCAACAGTTGGCAAATACCAGGTGCCTACTTACTATTAGGTGAACAGGGACAGCAGGTGTAAGGAAACGTGCCCAATGTTTCCACCCGGAAGCGAGAGCGTTGCTTACTAAGCCACGGGACATCTTCAACCCATATTGTACTGAACAATGCACACAGGTTTACCACTTCACGTGAATATAATAATAATAATATAGGAGAGTTAAGAAATTGATGATTGGAACCTCTTGCGAAAGTTAAAACACAGTACAGTGAGACCGGGTTGCCCATGGTTTATCAGTATCTTTGCCTGCCAGTTTTGCAAATTGTGTTGTAGGTGCTACTGGAGAACGTGGGGGAAGAACTGGACCCTATCCTGGAGCCCTTGCTGCTTAAGCAGACCTTCAAACAGAGCGGCTCTACCTGCATCAAACTCGGAGACGCCACTATTGAATACTCCGCTGATTTCAGGTGCAGTACTCACGTTCCTAATTAATAATAATAAATTTATTTCTTGTTTGCAGTATACAGGTACTGTAATTTGCCTGTAATTAAATATTGTTAGGCACAAAAGAAAACCACTAGCAGACAGTGCTTCAGCTATAAGATGACCCGTACAAGGTAACCAGCGACGAACTGCAAGTGTTAGAACGGCTCCATTTGTATGATGTCCAGAGGCTCCACCTGTGAGTATAAAGTCGATTTCAGGTTGGTAGGTTTATTAGGTTTAAAGGACTGTGGACTAGACGTGTGCCATTAAGACTTCATGTCACCTGTACACTGAAAGTCAAGGATAATTTAATCCCTACATAGGGTAAAAGGAACTTTTATTGTATATAGATATAAGTATCTCAGTGTCAGATTCCAGGCACTCCCCTTCCTAGATCTGTTAAAGTAGAGCTGGTGTAAAGTGAGTCTCCTTCAGGGATGACCCTACCAAGTCTGTAGTGACCCACGACATCTCTGACTTGCTCTCAGTGATAAGTCAGACACATGGGCAACACTTGGGTATCTTTATTGTGGAAACGTTTCGCCCCCACAGGGGCTTCATCAGTCCAATACAAAGAAGAATAGTGAAAATAAGAAAGAGATTGAGGTAATCATATAAATATCAAGTAATCTTCTCTTAAGTATCTCTGCGTGTCAATTCCTCCTTCGGAATATACTTTCCTCCTTCAGGATGTACTTGACGACGAAGCTGAGTAACCCCAACTATGTACCGGAGGTGTCAGTGAAGGTCACCCTCGTCAACTTCGCCCTCACCGCCGCCGGCCTCGAGGACCAGCTCCTGGCCCTCGTTGTAGCTCACGAGAAACCTGAACTGGAGGAGGAGAGAGTCACACTCATGCTCCAGACTGCACAAAACAAGAAGTAAAGTAACACTGATTTGTATTTTCATATAGTTATTATAATTACTATTATTATTATTAATTAGTATATATTATTTTAATTAACTGCCCGAGGTCTGTTAAGGTTGCATATTACCTGTATACTAACATCAAGAATACTTTTATCTTAATTATATGAATTAACTATATATGTACTATATGTTTATCTTAATTATGCGAATTAAAATAACTACATACATGACTGCCGGTGTGTATACCCTTCTGCTAAGTAGAGATATCAGAAAAATGCAGAATTCAAGATAAACTGGAAATAAGAGAAAGATAAAATGCGCTGAGCATTTAAAAAAATAAGAGGGGAGCAATAGTAATAATAATAATAATAATAATTCATGTTAAGCGCTAAACCCATCTATAGAGGGGATCAGTAAGGAGCATAGGTCGTGTAACGAAAACTGATCCCATACGACCCATTCCGCTGGCATCCTGCAGGAACCTGAAGGAGTTGGAGGACAGGATCTTGTCAACGCTGTCGTCTTCTAAGGGCAGCATCTTGGAGGACGAGACAGCTATCAACATCCTCAGTGATGCCAACAGACTGGTGAAGGAGACGCAGGAGAAGCAAACCATCGCTGAGGAGACGGAGAAGAAGGTAAAAGATGGAGAGGGAAGTAGTGAGAGAGAGAGAAAAAAAATAGAGATAGGTGGAGAGAAATGGATAAACAGAAAAATAGGTAGAGTGAGATAGAAATATATATTTTTTTTTTTTTTTTTTTTTCAACAAGTCTATCTCACTCTACCTACTACCTAGGTAGTAGGTTGGTAGACAGCAACCGCCCAGGGAGGTACTACCGTCCTGCCAAGTGAGTGTAAAACGAAAGCCTGTAATTGTTTTACATGATGGTAGGATTGCTGGTGTCTTTTGTCTGTCTCATAAATATGCAAGATTACAGGCATGTCTTGCTACTTCTACTTACACTTAGGTCACACTACACATACATGTACACATTTATTTATACACACTCATCTGAGTTTTCTTTGATTTTATCTTAATAGTTCTTGGTCTTATTACTTTTCCTTTTATATCCATGGGGAAGTGGAATAAGAATCTTTCCTCCGTAAGCCATGCGTGTTGTAAAAGTCAACTAAAATGCCGGGAACAATGGGCTAGTAACCCCTTTTCCTGTAAAGATTACTAAAAAGAATAAGAAGAAGAAAATTGTCAAAGTGGGAAGTCTGAATGTGCGTGGATGTTGTGCAAATGATAAAAAGAGATGATTGTGGATGTTATGAATGAGAAGAAACTGGATGTCCTGGCTTTAAGTGAAACAAAGTTGAAGGGGGTGGGAGAGTTTCAATGGAGAGGAATAAATGGGATTAGGTCAGGGGTTTAAAATAGAGTTAGAGCTAAGAAGGAGTAGCAATAATGTTGAAGGATAAGCTATGGCAGGAAAAGGGGGACTACAAATGCATAAATTCAAGGATTATGTGGAGTAAAATAAAGATTGGATGTGAAAAGTGGGTTATAGTAAGCGTGTATGCACCTGGAGAAGAGAGAAGTGTAGAGGAGAGAGAGAGATTCTGGGAAATGTTGAGTGAATGCGTGGGGAGTTTTGAATCAAGTGTGAGAGTAATGGTGGTTGGGGATTTCAATGGTAAAGTGGGTAAAAATGTTATGGAGGGAGTAGTAGGTAAATTTGGGGTGCCAGGGGTAAATGTAAATGGGGAGCCTTTAATTGAGCTATGTGTAGAAAAAAATTTGGTAATAAGTAATACATATTTTATGAAAAAGAGGATAAATAAATATACAAGGTATGATGTAGCACGTAATGAAAGTAGTTTGTTAGATTATGTATTGGTGGATAAAAGGTTGATGGGTAGGCTCCAGGATGTACATGTTTATAGAGGGGCAACTGATATGTCAGATCATTATTTAGTTGTAGCTACAGTTAGAGTAAGAGGTAGATGGGAAAAGAGGAAGGTGGCAACAACAAGTAAGAGGGAGGTGAAAGTGTATAAACTAAGGAGGAGGAAGTTCGGGCGAGATATAAGCGACTGTTGGCAGAAAGGTGGGCTAGTGCAAAGATGAGTAGTGGGGGGGTTGAAGAGGGCTGGAATAGTTTTAAAAATGCAGTATTAGAAAGTGGGGCAGAAGTTTGTGGTTATAGGAGGGTGGGGGCAGGAGGAAAGAGGAGTGATTGGTGGAATGATGAAGTAAAGGGTGTGATAAAAGAGAAAAAGGTAGCTTACGAGAGGTTTTACAAAGCAGAAGTGTTATAAGAAGAGCAGAGTATAATGGAGAGTAAAAGAAAGGTGAAGAGAGTGGTGAGAGAGTGCAAAAGGAGAGCAGATGAAAGAGTGGGAGAGGCACTGTCAAGAAATTTTAATGAAAATAAGAAAAAATTTTGGAGTGAGTTAAACAAGTTAAGAAAGCCTAGGGAAAGTATGGATTTGTCCGTTTAAAAACAGAGTAGGGGAGTTAGTAGATGGGGAGAGGGAGGTATAGGTAGATGGCGAGAATATTTTGAGGAACTTTTAAATGTTGAGGAAGGAAGGGAGGCGGTAATTTCATGCACTGGCCAGGGAGGTATCCCATCTTTTAGGAGTGAAGAAGAGCAGAATGTAAGTGTGTTGGAGGTACGTGAGGCATTACGTAGAATGAAAGGGGGTAAAGCAGCTGGAACTGATGGGATCATGACAGAAATGTTAAAAGCAGGGGGGATATAGTGTTGGAGTGGTTGGTACTTTTGTTAATAAATGTATGAAAGAGGGAAGGTACCTAGGGTTTGGGCAGAGAGCATGTATAGTCCCTTTATATAAAGGGAAAGGGGACAAAAGAATTGTAAAAATTATAGAGGAATAAGTTTATTGAGTATACCAGGAAAATTTATACGTAGAGTTATAATTGAAAGAATTAGAGGTAAGACAGATGTAGAATTGCGGATGAGCAAGGAGGCTTCAGAGTGGGTAGAGGATGTGTAGATCAAGTGTTTACATTGAAGCATATATGTGAACAGTATTTAGATAAAGGTAGGGAAGTTTTTATTGCATTTATGGATTTAGAAAAGGCATATGATAGAGTGGATAGAGGAGCAATGTGGCAGATGTTGCAAGTTATGGAATAGGTGGTAAGTTACTAAATGCTGTAAAGAGCTTTTATGAGGATAGTGAGGCTCAGGTTAGGGTGTGTAGAAGAGAGGGAGAATACTTCCCGGTAAAAGAAGGTCTTAGACAGGGATGTGTAATGTCACCATGGTTGTTTAATATATTTATAGATGGGGTTGTAAAAGAAGTAAATGCTAGGGTGTTCGGGAGAGGGGGTGGGATTTAAAAATTTTGGGGAATCAAATTCAAAATGGGAATTGACACAGCTACTTTTTGCTGATGATACTGTGCTTATGGGAGATTCTAAAGAAAAATTGCAAAGGTTAGTAGATGAGTTTTGAGAATGTGTGTAAAGGTAGAAAGTTGAAAGTGAACATAGAAAAGAGTAAGGTGATGAGGGTATCAAATGATTTAGATAAAGAAAAAATGGATATCAAATTGGGGAGGAGGAGTATGGAAGAAGTGAATGTTTTCAGATACTTGGGAGTTGACGTGTCGGCGGATGGATTTATGAAGGATGAGGTTAATCATAGAATTGATGAGGGAAAAAAGGTGAGTGGTGCTTTGAGGTATATTTTTTTTTTTTTTTTTTTCAACAAGTCGGCCGTCTCCCACCGAGGCAGGGTGACCCAAAAAAGAAAGAAAATCCCCAAAAAGAAAATACTTTCATCATCATTCAACACTTTCACCACACTCGCACATTATCACTGTTTTTGCAGAGGTGCTCAGAATACAACAGTCTAGAAGCATACACATATAAAGATACACAACATATCCCTCCAAACTGCCAATATCCCAAACCCCTCCTTTAAAGTGCAGGCATTGTACTTCCCATTTCCAGGACTCAAGTCCGACTATATGAAAATAACCGTTTCCCTGAATCCCTTCACTAAATATTACCCTGCTCACACTCCAACAGATCGTCAGGTCCCAAGTACCATTCGTCTCCATTCACTCCTATCTAACACGCTCACGCACGCTTGCTGGAAGTCCAAGCCCCTTACCCACAAACCTCCTTATACCCCCTCTCTCCAACCTTTCGAGGACGACCCCTACCCGCCTTCCTTCCCCTATAGATTTATATGCTTTCCATGTCATTCTACTTTGATCCATTCCTCTAAATGACCAAACCACCTCAACAACCCCTCTTCTGCCCTCTGACTAATACTTTTATTAACTCCACACCTTCTCCTAATTTCCACACTCCGAATTTTCTGCATAATATTTACACCACACATTGCCCTTAAACAGGACATCTCCACTGCCTCCAACCGTCTCCTCGCTGCTGCATTTACCACCCAAGCTTCACACCCATATAAGAGTGTTGGTACTACTATACTTTCATACATTCCCTTCTTTGCCTCCATAGATAACGTTTTTTGACTCCACATATACCTCAACGCACCACTCACCTTTTTTCCCTCATCAATTCTATGATTAACCTCATCCTTCATAAATCCATCCGCCGACACGTCAACTCCCAAGTATCTGAAAACATTCACTTCTTCTTTACTCCTCCTCCCCAATTTGATATCCAATTTTTCTTTATCTAAATCATTTGACACCCTCATCACCTTACTCTTTTCTATGTTCACTTTCAACTTTCTACCTTTACACACATTCCCAAACTCATCCACTAACCTTTGCAATTTTTCTTTAGAATCTCCCATAAGCACAGTATCATCAGCAAAAAGTAACTGTGCCAATTCCCATTTTGAATTTGATTCCCCATAATTTTGAGGTATATGTGGAGTCAAAAAACGTTATCTATGGAGGCAAAGAAGGGAATGTATGAAAGTATAGTAGTACCAACACTCTTATATGGATGTGAAGCTTGGGTGGTAAATGCAGCAGCGAGGAGACGGTTGGAGGCAGTGGAGATGTCCTGTCTAAGGGCAATGTGTGGTGTAAATATTATGCAGAAAATTCGGAGTGTGGAAATTAGGAGAAGGTGTGGAGTTAATAAAAGTATTAGTCAGAGGGCAGAAGAGGGGTTGTTGAGGTGGTTTGGTCATTTAGAGAGAATGGATCAAAGTAGAATGACATGGAAAGCATATAAATCTATAGGGGAAGGAAAGAGGGGTAGGGTCGTCCTCGAAAGGGTTGGAAAGAGGGGGTAAAGGAGATTTTGTGGGCGAGGGGCTTGGACTTCCCGCAAGCGTGCATGAGCGTGTTAGATAGGAGTGAATGGAGACGAATGATACTTGGGCCCTGACGATCTGTTGAGTGTGAGCAGGGTAATATTTAGTGAAGGGATTCAGGGAAACCCGGGTTTATTTCATATAGTCGGACTTGAGTCCTGGAAATGGGAAGTACAATGCCTGCACTTTAAAGGAGGGGTTTGGGATATTGGCGTTTGGAGGGATATGTTGTGTATCTTTATACGTATATGCCTCTAAACTGTTGTATTCTGAGCACCTCTGCAAAAGCAGTGATAATGTGTGAGTGTGGTGAAAGTGTTGAAGATGATGAAAGTATTTTCTTTTTGGGGATTTTCTTTCTTTTTTTGGGTCACCCTGCCTCGATGGAGACGACCGACTTGTTGAA